AATCTATCAAATGGTAGGGAAATGAACTTTACTTTTTTTTTTCTCACAACACATTATTTTGCCGACAGATTTATCGGACTTCGAGCACCAATCCAGGTTTTAGCATAAGCGGGCAACAACCATTATGAGGTGCAAATAGTATAATATATATTTATGCTAATATCCAACATTTATTGCATCTATTTGGCACTTGGGCAAGAATATTGTCCGAAGCAGACTCTAGGCAAGAATTGGAGGAATCAGGCAAGCAAGAATGGGAACTCCCCGACTTGTAGTTGTCCGAGCTGCGGACACAGAATTGTATAGTCCGATCTTCATGACATTTTCGAGGTCCAAGTGTGGCATATTCATATATACTAAAGTTAAAGAGTTTAATACTAAAACAGAGTTTTCAAGACACTGCCAAAAGAGTTGCAATCCAAAGGATATTTAATAAACAAACTGCCTGCAGACACAAGTTATGTCAGCCTGCTGGAGAACTTTTCACATGTTATTTTTGCCTCATTTTTGCCACAGCCTGTATTCAATTGAAATGAACAGCCCGGATAAAAAGTGCGCCGCGCCCGAACAACAAAATATATGATAATAACGTCAAAAGCGCCAAAGGACATGGCTGGCATTTTTGATTTTGTTTACAATCTGCACTCGGCAAAGAAATAAAAGCTATCAACAAAAAAGCAAAAAACTAGTCAACATCAAAATCAACATGGACACCAGACTGGGGCATACTCTGTACCTCAAATCTGCGATAGGAGCCGCAGACTTTGCACGGAAGCGCAATACTTATAAACTTCAGTCTTTATAGTACGATCAAGACTAACTCTACAACCAGCTGAGCATTCATCTAATCGACTCAACTATTGCTTTAGATAATGTCTGTCTACATTAGGCAATATGCAAGATATTAAGTAAGTGTGATCTATTTGAGAGAAATTACCCTAAACCTAACAGCTTTGCTTTGGAATTGCAATCCTAATTAATTTCGTACTGCAAGGTCCGATCACAAGGATATTTTCAGGGCTTGAAAACGGCCTTACACGGCTGTGTGTGTACTAAGGCGCAAGCTTTTAGCTTTCGATTTGTCTTATATTTAGGGAACAGGCAAACTAGATATATACTTGATGCTTTTTTAATGAACTTCGGGGTCTATAGTCCGATCACCTTAGCTAGGGCCTTACAGGCTGTTTCTGTACAAAGGCGCAAGATTTTAGCTTTTGATTTTTCTTCTATTAAGGGAACAGACATTAGCTTCGGTCTTTATAGGCCGCCAGACTCTAGCCTGATGTTTCCTCCTGTTACATCAATTTACACAACGCCAATATGCCCTCTTTTTAGCCATTTGTTTAGGGCATAACAAATCAAACTCATATCAGTCGAAAAAGTCGTTATCTAGCAGCGAAACAGTTGTCCGATGCGCCGCCAGCTGCCTGCCTGCCTGCTTGAACTCATGTTTACAATTGTTGCCACTTGAAATATTTACCCTGTATGCGTAAAAGAACGCTTTAAGCAAGCACTCGAACTAGTTGTTTAATCTTTGTCATAATCATTCTGCCCTGGCATACGCACAATTAAATGTAGAGTATTTTTATGCCCTTATCGGGGGAGGTAATATGATTTTGCCAGTAAGCTATATGAATTGCTGTCTTCTCTTATATATATCTTTATATATATCTTTATCTGATTGACTGCTGGTTCAGTTCACTGTTCGAATCAGCAAGCTGGTTTAGTCGCTGGTTCAGTTCACGGTTCGAACGAGCAAGATGGTTTGAAATTTGTATTCGTTTTTAATGAGCAAGCTTCTTAGTTTGGCAAATTATTACCTGGACATGGCAGAATCAAACCGTTTCTTGAGGCAGACCAGAAATATAAATACTTTACTAACTTGGATCTACTTTCTTCTGCCTTTGCACAAAACAAAATATATACCCTTTTTAGCCCACGGATTAAGGGTATCCAAATGCCTCGACTGCACACACAGTCCAATAAACACACACCCACATAAGCACTCTCCTAGTTGCTGTGCCAAGTAAAATATTTGGTCTGCGAAAAATTGTACCCTTTGTCGTTTCGTGGATTCGGTTTTTCGGCTAAGTATTAATGCTTAAATCGCAAACGACGCAAGGATATCCCATGACAAAAAGGTAAATGTCGGTACCTCTCGCCACCCTTTACAATCCAAGCAAAAATCAACAGCCTATACACACACACACAGATGCTGCCTGAACGCGCCCAAAAGTAGGCAAAAATTTAGGAATTTGTAAACTTAAATTTTCTTTTGCCGTCTCCCGCTCCCGTCTCCCTCCTCGTCTGATCAACTGACTGGCGCAATCATAACAAGTGTAGCCAATGTGCCCAGAGCCCAGAGCGGAGCCAAGTCGAAGTTAACCTGAGCCGCAGCCCATCTAATTAACTGCCAGACACACGCACTGTCATTGGCGATAAGCAAATGGGAGGAGGTTAACATTGCAGCCTGATGAAGAGAGAGAGAGAGAGAGAGAGAGAAGCAGGGCAAACTTGAAGCTCAATTGTCGCGAGTCGACAAAACGCCAAAGGGCTGGGAAATTGCAAGTGAGCCGAGATTAATTACTGTTTACAAGCATTTAATGTGCTGGAAGAGAAAGGAAAGGAGAACGTTAGAGAGACAGAGAGAGAGAGAGAGAGAGAGGTAGGGCGGACAGAAAGGGGGAGAGAGCGAGCAAATCGCTAAGTGTCTAAATGAAACAAGATATGCTCTGCTTTAGGGTCTAGTATTCTTTATAGATATTTCAAGAAATGTGTACGAAGAGAGAGAGGGAAAAGAGAAAGCGAGAGCGTTAGAGAGAGAGAGAGGGAGAGGGGAGAGAGAGCGAGCAAGTAGCTATGCATCTTTATAACAGAAGATATGCTCTGCTGTAGGGTATTCTTTATAGATATGTCAGGAAAAGGATAAGAAAGAGCGTTAGAGGGAGAGAGAGAAGAGAGAGAGAGAGAAGAGAGAGAGAGAGAAGAGAGAGAGAGAGAGAAGAGAGAGAGAAAGAAGAGAGAGAGAGAGCGGAAGAGAGAGAGAGAGCAAGTAGCTACTCGTCTGCATATATAAAGAAAAGCTCTGCTCTAGGGTCTAGTATTCTTTATAGATATGTGAGGAAATGTGTTGACTTCTATAGCACACAATTTTTTGAAAAGAATAGCTCGAAAAATGAATTTAAGTATAAAACGAGAAAGAAGAACTATCTAAAATGTAAAACCCTTGCTTCTATGCCTTACACATTTCGAGATAAAATTATAATCCGATATGCAAGGGCATAAGCACGATTCATTTTGTCCCGAAATATTTGTCAGACTCAGCACTTAAGTCATTCTCATTCCGGATTCTTTTGAATCTTTAGCTCGCAAAAAGCACTAGCTTGTTCTTTTTCAAGTGCTCAACGAGCTCAAAGATAGCACTCAAAAATCAGGTGCAGGTATAGGCAAAACATATTTGCAACCTATATATACTCTATATATATAAGCTAAAAGCTCTTGTAATCAAAAGAGAAAGCGGGTCTGAAATTGAAAAATTCAATTAGGCTCACACTGGCAAAAGGAAATGCGACACACATCTTACAACTTGTATTTATGCCGTATAATCTGTGGAGCTGAGCTCTCGGTTTTGGCCAGAACTAAAATTGCAAATGTCTGAGAAGGCGCTTTGATAACTAATACGCAGTTAAAGGCATTAAGATGTTGAAATAATGCGATGCCATGATGCGAACAGGATGCGGATGCGGATGCGGGTACGGGTACAAATGCGAATACGAATACGAATACGAATGAGGATGAGAATGAAGAGCTCAAAAAATATTCACAGTCAGCATATTCTCGGCACGAGTGCGTTTGCCTCGAGTGTGTATTATACATGTTTCGTTTACTCTGTCCAACTAGTAAAAATGAGTTTATTGCCTATGAACAAAAGTTGCAGCTTTGGATATATGTATATGTGTCTTTTTATGATGCGGCCGAAGTGTGAAAATAGATTTAACAACCAATTTTCGATATCTAGAAATTTGGCAGTTCTTCTTTTCAGAATGCCAAAATTTCCATGCCAAAATTAAAAAAAAAAAATTGTTAAAGTTAATGTTGAACAGCCAATTTGTAAAAATAATGTATTTTACACCCAATTTCAGGGTCTAGATATTTGGCAATTCTTCTTTTTTGAAGATCCAGCCAAAATAAAATATATATATGATTAAGTTAATTTTGAATAATTGCTAAAATTAATTTAATAAAATAAATATTGAACCTAACCTTTTCCAAGAATTCTCCGCTTTGATCAACAGACCCTGCCGTCGGACTTATGCCTTATGAAGCTTAAACTGGTTGTGGATTGCAACGCCTTAAGTGGCAGGCAGCTAGCCTGTTGCTGATTTTTTAGAGGCTCAAGCCAAAAATTATAAAACTCGAAATGAGTGACCATTTCTTGATTGAAAAAATCAAATCTATATACAAATTTTTGATTTCAGTCGCTTGAAGCTTAAACTGGTTGCGAATTGCAACGCCTCAAGTGGCAGGCTGCTAGCTTTAGGCTGATGTTTTAAGTGTATCAAGCCAAGATTCACCTAAAAGGTGACCAAAACTGATTTATATTTTTACTCTCGGTACAAGCCCCCAAATCGAATCGATTTCAAAAGTTTTACCGGACATTAATTGCGGTCGATCTCAGTCGCCTGAAGCTAAAACTGGTTGCGATTGCCAACCGTTATTTGGCCAAAGTGTTTATTACACCGTGAACAGAGTGTTGCGCAGTCGGTGATAGCCGACTGTAGCGTGCGCCTACTTGCTGTAATTATGATTGAGAATGATACACTCATATACAGAGATATTTATGTAGATATGTACAGCCCGACAACGAACTAACTACGAGGACCACACCACAGCAAAATGTAATGAATAATATAAACAAGTAAAAAAGAAGGCCAACGGCAACGTGAACAACACAAATACACAAATAAAGACTGTTTGAAAACAATTGCAGTAACGCTTACCTAAAAAAGAATAGATGTCATCAGATGTTGTTGATCTTCCGTCTTCCTGGAGTTCCCGTCTCAGAGATCCTAACGCTTGGTATGATATTAAGACGCAGACAGAAATGTAAACCGCACGAAACTTTTTCAGTATTTTTTAGACACTATTTTTTAAATGTTTTTCAATGTTTTTCAATGTTTTGCAATGTTTTTCAAATGTTTTTTAAATGTTTTTTTAATGTTTTTTAAATTGTTTGTTCAAATGTTACTTGTTTTTTTCTTTCAATTGTTCAATTTTTTATTATGCTTAAAGTACTTTGGAGTCTTGGAATTCATTGATCTTCGGGACTAAATGGAAGTCCCAAAGGACTTCCAGTTTTATTACACACATTGTTTTAACGTTTTTTTTTTGATTGTTTGCTCAAATGTTTGTTCTGTTTTTTAGTTACCAATTTTTTTGTAACTTGGAATTTAGCTAGTTTTGAGTTCTGATTCGACTTGAAATTTTATTTTTTTCATGTTTGTGTTTTACTTGATTTAATTTAATTAAATTGAATTTGATATTATTGGATGGATTTTACTTGCGTTGAGTTTCACGGCTCTGTCTTTGGTTTTTAGTCAGTTTTGATTGATGATGCTTTGATATTTCAGCTGAAAAATCGAAAAGAACAATAAGTATTACCAGGAAAAAAAATGGGACACACTTTTGGTCAAGATCAATTAAAAAAAAAAAAAACGAACGCTTTTTTTAAAACACATTTAAACACCTCAAAAAAACAACAAAAAAAAGTAACAACTTTATCAGCAACATCAGCAGCAGCAACAACTTTAGGCACACAAACGGAGCAGCTGCCCAAAAAGTAGACTATGTTGAAAGTTGCGCGCGGGTTTTCGCTTCAAAAATCAAGATTCAAATATTTGTCTTTGCGCCACTTTCAACACACTTGTTGGGCCTTGCGGAGAGGTCCAGAGAGGCGGATGGAGGAGAAGAGGGACCAGTCTGCCTTTCTTCTCCATTGGTTGCTTTGTGCCTTGTCTCCTGTTGCTGCTCCTGTTGCTGTTGCTGCTGCTGCTGCTGCTGCTGGGATTGTGAACGAACTGTTTCTGTCTGCGTTCAGCCGCTAACTGAGCCAGTGCAGGGCAAACGGCCGCTATTTAAACGATGCGAGCTGAGCTTTTTGGTCGTTAGCCGTTAGCAGAGAGCTTTGAAAGCTCGCTGCCAGGGTAAAGGCCCGACAGCCTGCCGCTGTGCTGCTGCTGCAAAAAAAAAAAAAACCGTTTGCAACGAGAGCTCCTGAACCAATGAACGCGACCGCAGGCAAAGCTCCGAATTGCCGATCGCTGTCTATAATCGGAACGAGCCATCGGCAGGCAAACAAAGTAATCAAAATATCGGCAGCAATTAAAATAAATATTAATATATATATAAATATGCGCCCAGCCCGAATTTAACTAATGTTAAATCGAAACAAAATAATTAAAAATGCATTTCATGCATTAAAAACTTTCTTGAACAGACACTTTTTTCAGGCATAACGAAAAAAATTGAAATTCAAAATACTGGTCCCTATTAAACTTAAGGCACAATTTTCCTATAATAAGTTACTCTATGCTTTAATTTTTTTGTAAAAGCTAGTCAAAAATTTTAAGTGCATTAACTGAAGCTGGTTGCCCACGCAGTTGCCCGTTAATAAAGCTCTGAAAGCCCTCTACAGTACGCCCTAGCTCAAGTGACGACTAAAAGTTGACATATTTGCCAAAAATGTATATTTTATAATTAAACTAAAAATAGTTTTTTTTTTTTTCGAAATGCTAAAAATTATATAGGAAAGAAAGCAATTCGTTTTAAAATTAATTTATTAGCTCGGTTGCGTTACGCGAGTGCGTGCTGTATTTTTATAAATATAGCAATGTGTGCAACGACTATTCAAAAACAAGAGGGAAGCTCCTTAAAAGAGCGCATGCTCGGCTACACTGCGCAAATTTTCGCTTGCACTTTGAATTTAGTGCAGTTGGGTAACAAATAAAATGGGATGGCCAATTAGAAGTGAAATACAGCCAGCTTCCCTCTGCCCGCTTCCCCCCTGCTTTCCTCTGCACGCTTCTTACTGCCCGATTCCCTCTGCCCGCTTCCATCAGCCCGCTTTCCACTACACGCTTCCCTCTACTCGCTTCCCCCTGCCCGCTTTACTCTGCCCGCTTTACTCTGCCCGATTCCCTCTGCCTAGTGCCCTCTACGCGCTTCCCACTGCCTGCTTTCCACTGTACTTAAAAATATTTTTTAGATAGGAGGAACAATCGCATATTCATACATACATATATTTATATAGACGGATGTTGGCTCGGTCCCAGCGGCTGTGCCCAGTCCCAGTAGTCCGCCGACCCAGGAACTGGTACGCCACACGGCGTCTCAATTAACGCTGGCAACTGTGCGGCAACAAAGGCCGCAGCAGGAACGAGGTCGCGCCTGGGTCCAGTTAGATATGGAGCATAATTAGCAAAAGAGATGTGTGCACGTCATGCAAGTCGTGTCGGTTCAGTGGCCCTTGACCGCAATCGTATACGTCTCAATAGAATATAACAAATTGGCGTCCAGGAGCCTCGATAAACAGCCCATTTCACAAGCGTTGCCTCAATTCAATTCACTTCTATTCACTGCGCCATTTTACATAGACTAAGCAATGCGCGCATTTATTTCCATTTCGCTTCATATTGACGATGTCAAGCCACTCATTCACCATGCGGCGAATTCGCAGAAACGGTTCTTTGCTTCCAATCAATTCTCTTTTATTGCCTGCGCCAATTTACGTAGCTTGAGCAATGCGCGCATTTATTCATTCATTCACAGCCAACAGCAGCAAGTGTAAGCCGTTCACAATACGGCGAATTCGCAGGCAACGGTTCTTCTGCTGCTTGAGAATATTGCACATATGGTTGCATGTGTATATATATTTGTATGTGTATGTGTGTTTTATATGAAGAGTCTGTGAAATGCATGCATGTTATTATATTAAAACGGCTTGTGAAAGATCTTTCAAATTGTAACACAACTGTAATTGTACTTACATTTCTTTCAAGCTGAGACCAAAATAAAATCTTACATTTATTTCACGCTAATTCCGCAGTTTGCTGCTATTTAACTTGCGTCGTTTTCGTTCCAGTCTTGACAAGCCATTCAAAATGCGGCGAATCCGCAGGCAACAATTCTATCGCTGCGTGAAAATATGCATTTGTTTGTGTGCATGTATATGTATGTGTATGTAAAGAGACTGTATTGTAATTGTAGTTAACATTTTCATTTCAAGACAGCCCCAAAATGTTGCCGCTATTAAATTCACTGCATATTTTATTTATCGTTCCATTTCCGACGTTCCTGTGCTCAAGTTTTGCCAACCCGTTTCCTGCGACAATTCTTTCCTTTTTGTTCATCTTTCGACGCCTTCGGTTCGCAAATTTTTAGCTACCCAAAAAAAGTTGAGCAAGAAATTTCGTATTGGCGCGAGCTCGGTAAGTTAAGTGTTATTTTTTTGCTTGATACAAATAAATTAGCTTTGGCAATATTATGTTATTTATTTATTTAACTTGTATTTGTTCGTCTGCTTGTTGAAGAAAGGATGTTGCAATGCGCTCGCAGACAGATTCCTTTAATGGCAGCCATTACGTTTGCTTGTGAAATACATGTATTATTATTATTTTTTTACATTTAAATATGCAAGTGTAGAATTAATAAGTATATTGTGCAGTTGGTAAAGCTAATTATTATTTTTTTTTTTTGTGGACATACATACATCTAATTGGTTTTTTCTTTTTAAACTATCGCGTAGTTGTAATAAGTGTGCGTGTGTGTGTGCGCGCGCCCGTGTACGTATGTGTGTGAGCGCGCGCGCGTGTTCGTATGCGTGTGAGCGCGAGCATGTGTGTGTGTATTGAAATACCTTTGGAAAGCAACAAAAAAAAAAGCGCAAACGTTGTAGTCGACCACGCAATACCCTGCTCACAGAAAGAAAAAAAATGAAGATTAAAAAATGTTGTTAAGTGACTTTCAAACTGTGATTATGGGACATAAACCTGGAACATAGGCAGCCTCCAGACAGACGCACCAAGATGCGCATTCTCCATTTTTAAAGCAGGGTATGCGAACGTGTTGCGCGAAGGGTGTGGCGGGCAATTTGATTGCCGACACCTGACCAGCAATTAGAACATGCCATCGGATCGGGCAACTGGTATGAGGACAATGAGGAAGATGACCAGATTGCGCATGACCAGGCGCCAATCGTTGGGCACGGCATAGGGCAACAGGATTCGGGTGAGCCGGTGCACCTCATGCGAGGCGCACACAAATATAAACGATGTGATGATCATGTTAAGCGTCGGAAAGCCGGGCAACAGCACCAATACGCCATGTCGATCGGCGGCGAGCCAAATGTGATACTGGCAGACGAACAGCTCGAGGGAGATGCGTCCGAACCAGGCAAAGAAACTGGAGTATCTGGTGCGCAGAATGCCGGAAATGTTGCGCAACACCACATATCCGATAATGGGTATGAACAGGATATAGGAGTGGATCTCCTCACAGTTCTGGACATTGCGGCAGAGCAACGAAAACGCCGTATAGATGCCCACGCCGAGCAGGGCCAGCAATGTGACCGAAATCGATGTACGGCGCGAGAACAGATTGCCATGATTGTTGTCATCGAAGACGTTGTACTTCTGGGCAATATGGAAGCAGGCCGCATAGATCATGCCAAAGGTGACCGTATACCGATCGAGTTTCCATTGATACCACCATTCGTGAATGTCGTCGTCGGTGGTCACGAACAGCGCTTTCCAGGGACGCGTTACAAAGATCCGTTCGAAGAAGACCTCGGACATGAATAGCACCGTTATGACGCCTAGACAGCCAATGCATTTGCACACCAGATAGAGATAGTGTAGAGGATTGGCGTCCACTGAGGCGCTGGTAATGCGCGGCGGCAGCGAGAGCACAAAATAGATGACGCAAAGCCAGAACGAGAGCAGGGGCACAAAGTAATAAAATTGATACGGCCGGTTCATGCAGAAGCACAGGAGTATGCTCAAGAAATTGAGCCGGAACATGGATTGAAAGAAACGTACGAACATCGAACCGGAGCCGCCCGTCTGCCAGATGTGGGTGAAGTGCGTGTAGCCGGTGAGAAAAAAATATCCCGAAATGAGCAGTTTGATGTGCATATGAATGGGTAGAATACGCTGGGCGCCGGTCATATAATAGATGAGCACCACGAGCAGGATCCAGCCGCGCAGCTCGTCCGTCTGCTGTCGGTTGAGCACCTTGGTAAAGCGCGACTCCTCCGTAAAGAACAGACCCAAAGCAAACACATAAGCCACGGGTATCCAGAAGCTAAACTCCGAGTAGTATTTGTTCTCCTTCATGAAGAAATTGGTGCGATCGCACAGATAGAAATACGCCATGATGAGGCCCAGCAGGGACAGCGCGACCAGCGGCGTGCCGTAGTCCGTGATGAGCACGGCCAGCGCGTTGGCCGGATGATGGGAGTGCGACGAAGAGGAGGACGACTGCGACGACTGCTGCTGCTGCTGCTGAAGCGGCACGTAGAGCGTCTGGCCGCGCATGTGAAGCAGCCAGCGGCGCAGGCAGATGCCGCCGACGAGCGCAATACACACACCGAAAAGAGCATATGCGACGATCTGGAGGCTGGTGTGCGGCTCGGCGCTGCTGCAGCAGGTGCCATCGTTATAGTTCATCTGATCGTTGCAGTACATGTTCCACAGCAGCTGCACCTCGAGTCGTTGACCGTGCGCGCTCAGCCGATGCCCCTCGATGGCATTGTCCAGCAGCCCGTTGGCAATGTGCCCGGCCGACTCCCAGACGCTGGCGTCCGTATAGCGAAACACATTGCGCGCGACATTGTTCAGGCGATCGATGTCCTCGTTGAGCACTAGCTTCCAGGCGGGCGGCAGTTTCTCCTCGTCGACACGCTCCGCCAGCTTCCAAAGAACGCGCGATGTTTGTGCCACAAGGCGATGGATGGGCGCCACAAGAAGCGTCAAATTGACGCTATATTGACGCAACAGCTCGTCGGTCACGTTGCCGGCGAGCAGCGAGCCATAGGTGAGGCCCATCACATAGACGGAGGACAGTTGCTTCTCCTGCTCCAGCTGGTAGAGGCGATCGATCAACGCCGGACTGACTTCCATGGCGCCAATATACTGGACAAGTATGTCCAGCTTTTTGTCCTCGAAACGGGCAACATTCGCCCGAGCCGAGGCATTGTTATCGTACTCATCATCCACGTCCACGTCGTCGCCCGTCTCGCTGGCCGATGCCTGCGGCAGCTGCAGCTGCTCCACGAAACGGTCGTAGAGAAGCCGCACGCTTCTGTCCCCGATGAAGACGAAGTTGTTCTTGTTGCCAAAGAAGGCCAAATAGCGCAGGCAGCGTCGCGTGTCGCTGCAAATGGAAAGAGCGTGATAACGAATTTCAATTTGGTGACTCAGCGGCGGCCGATAAGGGCAGCTTTTAACCAAGCACACATACGCTCGATCGCCAAATACCCTGTGTTCAAAAATGCCAAAGTGAGTCATGAGTCACATTTCCAAAGATAATAAATCGTGCAGCAAATCGGTTGCTTTTACCGCCTGTCATCGCTGAGAAAACTATCGATATTTATCGATTTCGGCCAAAGAGACAGAATTATCGATCAGCGAAAGGTCTATAAGAATAAAAACTGCAAATTGACAGTACCCTATCCCGGCAATAAAAAAGCTGTTGATGTACCAAAAAAAAATCTGAACTAAAAACCGATATTTATCGATTTCAGCTAAACAGACCGAATTATCGACTAGGAAAATAAACTCCAAAATGAGAATGTCCTGTTTCCGCATATAGAAAAACTGTTGTGCTTAATAAATTCATGAATGTGTTAGGGTAGGGTATATACCTTATATATCTCTCTTGAAAAAGCCAGCTGTAAATTGTTATAGGCCAAGAGGACTGTTTAAGCGCATCCTAGCCCCAATTTTAGTGTTTATCATCTATATTTATCGATAAATAGGCAGAATTATCGACAGTTTGGAACATACTGATCAATTTCATGAATCTGTAAGCGTAGGGTATAGGGTGTAATGGTAGGGTAAATTCCTGTAAGAGTTAGGTATATATATACCTTATATCTCTTGGAAAATACATCTGTGAATTAGTAATAGGCCAAGAGCACTGTTAAACACTAGATCTTTAGCCCAATTTTGGTGCCTCTACACAAAAAATCCAGACTAAAACCCGATAATTATTAATTTCGGATAGGCAGCGATATTTATCGATAATTTGACACAGACCAAAAAAATGTTTCAATTTTGGGTTTTAAATTCAGACAGACAATGGAACGGACATGTATTGCGTATATGCCCCGATTTGTGCATTTTTCAATGGGTACGCGCTAGATAAAAATGTGGGGCTGGGTACCCCGACTCACGTGTAGGAGTACTTGTGCATCATGCAGCCGTAGGGCTGCCATTCGTTGTCGCCCTTGAAGCGGCCCTTCGAGAGCAGCCATTGGCAGGAGTCGCTGCCTGTAAACGAGAGAGAGAGAGAAAAGCAGGAATAATGAAATCAAACGGGCTGCCAGCGATCGATAGGTCGATAGGCATTTATCGATAACGCACCGTAGTTCCAATTGAGCAGGCCGTGGTAGAGGACAAAGCCGAGCACAAGCAGCAGTGCCACCTTTTTGGCATTTGTCGCATTCAGCTGTTCCATAAACAGATCCGCTCGGGTCGGTATGCGCTGAACCCCGTCCTCCGAGGAGCTGCCAATGCAAATGCCGCCCAGCTCGCCAGCGCTGTTGTTGCCAGCAGCAGCAGCAGCGCGCAGTTCGCGCAACTCCATGCTGACCGCACTCGCGAATCTCAGTCTGGGTGAGTCGTTGGCAGTGAGTGTTGCTTTTACCTGCTGGCCGTTTGCATCTTTGGCCCAATTTCTGTGCTGTCCTTCGGTTGCACACGCTTTTCACAGCGCAGTAACTCGGTTTATGTTGCAGCCGTTGATTTGCTTTGCGCTACAGCCGGCCGATAGGCGGCCCTTTTGCTATTGCAATTAATCGTTGTGCCGCCCCTCCCCCAATCAGTCAGCTGTTCGATAACTTCTATCGATTTGCAAATTTGTGCCAGTTGCAGCGAAATACACTGTGACGTCACAAGCACATAACGGAATTTACGAATAAATGCCATCGTATATAAATTAAAATGTTCTTTTTCAGCTTACACATTTTGGAATTGTGGCACATATCTATTTTTAGATTCAATATTCAAACCACGCAACACATTTTTAGAGTATAGCACACATCTATTTATTTGAAATGGCAGTCAAATTGCGCGCCAACTGAAAACTGAAAGAGCATTAAGCATTCTTAACACTACTTAACTGCTTGTGTAACCTTCCACTCGAATCATGCGGCGAATTCATTTTGCCGGCAGTCTGCATTTGTAAACGAGATGAGGAAACGCTAACTATTTTGTCAATTGCATACTATTTACAGAAAGCAAAATGCACGATTTGCGCGCCTTAAACAACTGCGAGGTGTTCAAACAAATACGCGTCGAGCTGGTCGATTTCCATACAAAAACAAAGCGCCTGAACAGCTTCATTTATTTTAGCGGTAAGGGTTGCGTCTCCTCAAAATTACAGTTAAACTTAATTGTTTCCCGCAGGCAACGAGGAGAACATACGAAATGTGGCAGATCGCGTGCTGCACGTGCTGCTGGAGCACGGCCTCGTTGAGCAGCAGTCGCAGCCCTCGCAGCTGGTCAAACCGAATCCCAGCGCCGATCTCGACCAGCTGCGCGGCACTCTCATGTATCTGATCCTGAACAGCGTGGTGGGCAAGAGCCAGAAGGAGGAGCAGGAGCTGGCACGCTGGAATCCGCAGTGTGTACACCTGCTGAAACAATTTCCGGAGCCGCTGCCCCAGTTGCTCACCGTAAGCGTACTTCTGCTCTGCGGCCTGGAGCAAATGCTGCTCGAGTTCTTGGCCTGCGGTCCACATTGGCTGACCTCGCAGTACTTTGATTGCCTCAACAATCTGCTGGGCCATTTGGTGCCCGGCAAGCGGGAGACGCTGCCGCTCATCGGCGGCGCCCTGTCCGCCGTGACCAAGGCCATTTGCTACCAGGCGCAGTCCAATCTCAGCCTGATGGACAATGCGCTGCGGCTGTTGCAGCGACATTTGCTGAACAGCGAGGAGCGCCTGCGCTCGCTGAGCTCCAAGAAGCGCCAGCGCTATCTGGGCGAGGCCATGTGTCAGCTGCTCGACGTTCTGCTGGAGATTATGGCTGCACTGCAGCAGCCACCGGAGCTGCCGGCCTACTTTATGGTCTACGCATTGCACTCGCCCACATCGCAGGAGTCACCGCCCTCGTCGTTGGAGCAGCTGCCTTCGGTGTCGCCACAGCTGCGCGAATTTGGAGCCAAGGTAATGGACATGCTGCAGCTGCTGCTGCATCATATAAGCGTGGACACGTACATGGCCTGGCAGGAGATGACTTCCAGCCAGCTGCTCTTCCACCTCCAGGCGCATGTCGGCAACAAGTGCCAGGCGCTGACCCCACTGCTGGCCAAAGATGAGACCCTCAAGACGCACACGCTCCGCGCACAGCTGGCCAATTTCGAGGACGGCGCCCAGACGTTCGAGCAGCGCCTGGACACGCTCACCCTGGGCGAGTTGCTCAGCCTGCTCGATGGCGAAATGGGCGTCGTGCCCGACGATCAGCTGCTGGCCGCGCTCAACGAACTGCTACGCCGTCCCATTTGCTTTGGCAACGAGGAGTGCGTCGAGACGATGGCTGGACACATCCAGCTGCTCGGCGTGGCCCATGCGGAGCTCATGCTGGAGCATTTGGGTCAGGTGCTGACCCTTCACGATGACGACAACGACGACGCTGACGACTGCGATCCGAATGCACCTTACAGCGAGCTGCTGCAAAGCGTCCTGCTGCCCATCTATCAGACGCGCTGCAGCAGCCAAGAGAAGCTGAAGCTGCTCCACAAACGCGACCAGCTGCAGCTGCTTAGCCGCTTCACGTTCACGCGCGACAATCACAATTCGCGTCGCATCTATTTCTTCAACCAGCTGAGCTGCTCCAGCGAGCGCTTTCCGCTCGACCAGTTTCTGGATCTGTGCTACGAGGAGCCGGCGCAGACCTGGCTGGGCCTTGCCCAGCTGGCCATGACCCATCGACGCTTTGCCACGCTCTACTGGCATGTTGCCGCCAGCTGCTCGCCCCATGCCCGGCATCATGTGGGCTACACTGTACGCTGCCTGCTCCTGGACGAGCGTCTGCTCTCGCTGCCCAGCTCTGGGGATTTGATCGTGCGGCTCTATGAGCAGCCGGTTCTATTAAATGGCATGCGCTATCGCCAGGTTATCAAGTGCCGGCGACAGCGTCTCAACCACGCCCTGCGCCCCCGCCCCCGCCGGTTGCGCGAACTGACGCTTAATCTCAGTCTGGACGCGCTGCCGTACAGCGGCCAGCAGCTGCACGCCGGCCAGGACAACTATCTGTCCGCCTGCGCCGCCGGTCTCGCCCGTTTCAGCGAAACACGCAACTACACAGCGATCGAGCGGCTGCTAAAGACGCTGCTCAGTTTGGAGGTTGTGGAGCAGCGCATCGTGCGCTGCAGCCACAAATCGTACAAGGAGCAGAGACGTCGCCTCACCCAGGCGTCAGAGCACAGGCTGCAGCTGGCGCGGCACAAGCTGCAGCTGGCCAGAGGCTATGTACGCCTGCACGGGCAGCTCAGCTCGTGGCGTATCAGCAACTGGCCGCTGGCCTCGCAGATCGTGCTTGTCATGGATCAGCTACGCGGCACGCTCGAGAACTTCGAGCTGGCACGCATCGCGTTGCTCGATCTGGTCGTCGAATACCACGTCAACAACATGGCGCGATCCGTGTTCATGTCGCCAGGTAAGGGCCGGACCATGAATCGCCAGTTATGATAGTTGTATAATTCTGTGATCCTTGCAGAGATGCGTTGCCGAATGGTGGGACTGATCGGCTCCGGGTTGCAACATGCGCAGCTGTGGAAGGGCGAGCAGCTGGCCGCACTGCTGGAGGATCCCGACAAGAAGCGCGAGACCAGCGAGTACACAGCGGTAAAGGAAAAACCATTAGTTTTTAAATCAAGTTTGTAAATTCAATAATTCAATTTCAGTTACTGCGACAGGCCTCAACGCTGGAGGCCGTCAATCTGTTGAGCGGCGCCATCCGTCATAAGTTGGACGGCGCCGTCATGCACAGCCTGGCCGAGGAGGTGAACCGGCTGAACTCGCCGAATGCCCAGCATGCCTACGGATTCCTCTTCAAGTGCTATATGATCGCGTTTAACCAGGAGCTCATTGGCGGCGCCGTTGCCAGCGACTATCCGCGTCTGATCGAGCATATATTGCGTACGCCCAAGCTGCGCATGCCCGAGAATCTATTGGCGGCCGTTAGCAATCTGAAGATCCTGCTCGGCCCGGCTGGCATTGTGGGCAAGACGAGCATTTTGCAGTATGTAAACCAGAGTCTTGCGATGTCGGCGGAAAATTAGATGGCCAGCATTAAGTATTACATATTGAATATGTACAACAAAGTGAATAAGAAATTATACATATAAACAAATACATCTATCTAAATAAAAGTGTTTGTTCTGTTGGCTAGTTTATAGGCGTTTTGAATCGTTTAGATTTGGCGGCTTGAATTCGCCGTTGCGCTGCAGCGCGTGCACTGCCACCCGGTTGGACACAGCGTTGCATCGCGTACAGTGTCGTCGCGGCGTTGCCGCATTTTGACGATCTGGCAACTCTAAATGCCGGCTGGTCTGGTACGCTATGGTTGACGCATGCGTCTGACGTACATATGTATGACGGCGGTGACTGAATTTTTTTTTTGCATACGAAAAATTCGCTGCTAAAAGTACGAACCTAAAGTGCGTGTAATTAACGAAAGTCAGTTTGAAAGCGAAACGTATTAATCCAATTGCACATTGGCGGCTCGAGTAAATTGCAAACAACACGTTGATCGTCAGTTTTTGCACGGAACAACCTCGTGTATTTAATTTTTTTGCGCATACATTTACCGATATTTTGGTGGCTACACAGACATAAGGCATAGCAGACACACAACCATAGCGACAACGCAACGCAACGACGACGACGACAAGAACGAGCGACGACGACGACGACGGCGACGACGTGAAGCGCAGTGAAGAAGAAAAAAAAAAACAAGCGAAATCGAAAGCAAAATTTGTCGAGTCGCGTCAAAAATTTTGAAAATCTTGTGTGCTAAGCTGAAAGAATTCGAAACAAAAGTAGTTCGAAACTCCAAAATAGAATAGCGCAAAACACACACAGAACGTAAGTCAAGAAAAAGGTAACAAATAAATAATTGCAATAGCCACAATTGTTCCCATTGTTCTCAATTATTCCCCAGGCAGAAGAAGAAGCAGTAACAGCAGCGCAGCATCGTTGCAAATTACAGCTAAGAGGACGACAGGAATCGGCAGTGACGTATACAACTAATACCACTATCAGCAGCAGCGGCAGCAGCAGCAGCACAACAACCACATCAAAATGAATAAAGCACCTCAATTTGAAGTTCCGCTGACCATTGAGCCAGAGCATGAGTTGCGCTTTATTGGTAAGTCTATGTATGTTTGTGTGTGTGTGTTTGTGTGTGTGTGTTTGTGTGTGTGTGTGTGTTGGTGTAAATTTGAATTTTAAAAAAGAAGAAGCAGGCAATGTGTGGAGCTGCATTCACGCTTGCATTTGTTTTGTTTTGGACTTGACATCATGGGCCATCCAAAAAGAAGGTCACTTGTGCCTCTGTGTGTGGCGGCATATCGATCATTTTTATCCAGCAATGGGCAAGTGAATGCGTATTGTAAACATTGCTACAAAGTGCTGCTGGCGGCGGCCGCCGAGCAAACTGCAAAGTTCACACACACACACACACACACACACACGTACACATGCAGACTACTGGCAGGGCCGCTTCTTCTCGTTTCTCTTTTTCTCTCTATTCACTTTGCGTTATTTTTTTTACGTTCGGCCACAGCTTATCAATAATTTTGTTGTTTTAGCTTTTTTTTTTGTTCTTTCTGTTTTTTGACATATTTTGAGGGTACGTGTGTGCGGCTGTTTTGGCATGTTGCTGCCACCAGCGCTGCGACCGCGAGCAGCGCCAGCAACTGGCGTCGTTTCATTTGGAAATGCCGCCGCTCTACGTTTTCTCCCTCTCTCTCTCTACATTTTGCGCGCGCTCTCTCCCGCTCCCTTGAGTTTTTGTGAAAAACCTTTGCCGCGCGCTGTCTTGGTCGCTCGCCTTTTGGCTAACATTTTATTTTTATACTCAACAGCTTTTCATGAGCCATTTTTCCTTTTACTTTTTGAATTTTGGCCAAATAACAAAAACAATGCATATGACAACACACTTTGATATCTAGTGCGCACAGTGGAACGCATTCACAATTTCCAAGGGCCACACACAAAAAGCTGTAAACAGGTGACATTTTAGCTTTTTATGCCCACTGTACACATGTGCGTGTGAGCATGTTTGGTATAGCGCGCACACACACACACATACATGCATACACATGTCGCTTACCATTTCCCCAACGATCGGTGACAGAATGTCCACACGCACACACACACACACACACACACACACACACAACTGTACGTATGTATTGGGCGTCTTATTGAATGAGTTTTCCTTCGAAATAAAAAAATCAAAGAAGCACCAAAATTTCTTGCATGTGTGTGTGTGTGTATGTGTGTGTGTGGTGTTTGCTTTTAATTCAATTAATTTAACATGAAAAACCACAACCAAAGTATTACTCGGCACGCACCGACGCCTAAATACCCTACAAAAATGTTCAGGTTCTCGATGGAGCGCACGCTGCAGACAATTTCGCTAACATGTCAGGACCTAAGCTGAACATCTCATTGACAAGTCGTCAAGACTGTTTTGCCATAGTTTATTTATGTGCCCAATCGGAATTTATACCAAGCACAACTTTTCTCATTCAAAAAGATCCCATTTGTCATGCAAGACAACCTTCGGGACAGGTCATCTAGCCTGTCTTGGGTTTAATTTCATAGGAGAGTTAAACAAATTTCATTTGTCTCATAGCCAATGTACCCAATCGGAATTTGTGCGAAAAGTGACGCAATCTTGAAGTGCTCTAGAAAACATGCATCTAGGGAATTCACGCATCTTGACAGACATGAAACAAAGTTCAAATGCCATTTATATGTGTATATATTCTATTATTTGCAGGTCCATTCAATAGACCCGTGGTGACAATCATGACCCTGAAAAACAACTCGGCCATGACGCTGGTCTTTAAGATCAAGACTACGGCACCGAAGCGCTATTGCGTACGTCCAAACATTGGCAAGATTGCGCCTTATCGTTCGACGCAGGTGGAAAGTGAGTGAAAAGCTGGAAAATTGAAAATTGAAATTCTAATTAATTGCATTCGCTTCCCTTTGCAGTTTGCCTGCAGCCCTTCATGTACGATCAGCAGGAAAAGAACAAGCACAAGTTTATGGTGCAGAGTGTCCTAGCACCGCAGGATGCCGATTTGACTGATCTAAATAAGTTGGTAGGCATCCCCCCGCTGCACTTGGCCTGCCTTTGTCTTCTGTCTTGTCCAATTTGGTGAATTGATTGATTTGTTGTTTTTGCAGTGGCGGGAACTGGAGCCCGATCAGCTAATGGACGCCAAGCTAAAGTGCGTATTTGAAATGCCGCCCGCCGAGGCGAACGCCGAGAACAGCAGCGCCGGCGGCGGTAATGCCAGCGCCGGCGGCAGCTCGGGCACCAATCCGCCCACCTCACTCAGCACAGGCGAGACGCTTAAAAGCGATGCGCCGGCAATGTCCGCCGTGGTCCAGGTGCGTTTCCCATTAGATATATTCCCATATTTTCCAACTATATATTGTAAATTGCAGTCGTCGAATCTGTCCGATGCTGCAGAGCATGCCGAAGCCATGGCGGCCGATCTTAGGGAGTTACGCGACCTCAACAGCGAACTGCGAAGAGAGAATCTACATTTGAGGGTAACATCAAATTGTCCAACTATTTTCTATCTGTATGAAATGCTACTTTATTTGTCAGAGTAATTCAATCAATCATTTTCAAGTCGTGAACCAGATCGGCTCTTATGAACGTTGCATTCCACTGTTATTCAGTAGTTCATGTACCATTCGATTGGTTCATTTAAATTCCCTTAAAGATCTTTTAAAATTATATTGATACCGGTCGAAGGGTAAACAAAAAACCGTTTTCGCCAATTTTTCACTGTTGCGGGTGGAATTTCCCAAGCTTGTAGGCATTAGGTTCTTATAAGTTTGAAGCAAATAGTACAAAGCTTGAAGCTTCACCAAAAATATCTTTAAATCGCATGTTTCACTGAGAATGCTTGGATTCTGAAATAGGTGTGAAACACGTCTCAAATGATTTTTTGTATAGATCCTTCAAAATGAATTTGATTCCCATTTCACCCAAGGAGGAATGCATTTTTCGAGAAGTGTGAAACACGCCTCAAATGAATTTGAACAAATATTTTTGAAAATATACTTTATTAAAATATGAAATTAAGCGAAAGTAAATGTCTTAAGACAATCAAGTGCAACTGAATAGATTAGAAATGAATTATTAGCATCGTTCATAAACCAAATAGTAAATAAAATGTTTTGTTCATTATCGACCGATGTTCGTTGAATAAGTTCAATAGATTATTTAAAGAACCAGTTCAATTGAAAAAATTATAGAAAGTAAAGAATAGCTCAATCGATTATTTGAAGAACCAGCTCAATCGAACTTATAAACACTTATTAATAAATTCAATAGATTATTTAAAGAACCAGTTCAAATACAAACTTCAATACATTGTTTGATGAACTAGTTCAATTGAGCCTAGTATACAAACTAATGAATACGTTTAATAGATTATTTGAAGAACTAAGTATAATAACTAATGATAATAGATTAGTTAAAGAACCAGTTCATTTGAACTATACAAACTAATCTGTTTTTTTATCAATCTTTCTTCCGTTTCAAGGATCAAATTACACGCTATCGGAGCTCTCCGGCTACCAAGCAGATCAACGAGCCGTACGCTCCGGTTCTGGCTGAAAAACAGATTCCGATATTTTATATAGCAATTGCAATTGCTGCGGCCATTTTGGGTCTGTTGCTGGGCAAGTTTTTGCTCTGAATGCCATAAATACAACAACAGCAACATCAACATCAGCAACAACAACAACAACAACAAATAGCAACAACAACGAACACAGCAACAGCAACAACAACAACAACAACTAAAGCAGCAGCCACAAAATCCATTTGCTGTGTGGCTAATTCACTAAAAGTTTAACAATTGTTTAAATATTTGCTCACTTGAAATTAATAATCATTTCTGTTATACTAAACTACAACAACAACAAGAACATTGTCAAAATATTAATTCAATTGAGCAAAATTTATAATTTGTTTAGGCCATCGCAACTGTCAAAATTATGTACACACCCTCACACATAAACGAAACACTCACACACACACATATATATATATATACACACACGTAAAGGACACATGTTTAGATAATGTAATTGTTAAAGTAAAAACAAAAATAACCGTAAGCAAAACTGCAACTTGCATCCAAAAAGTAATCGGCAATAGCAAAATACTAAAACAGAGCCGGAGAGAGCGAGAGAGAGAGACGGGTAGAGGCGGTAGTCTCTCTTGCTCTCTCCTTTCTCTCCGTACAGCCAGCAGCCAGTCAATCATTTGCATGCACTGTACAGCATGCTCCCTCTTGTCTCTCTCCCTCTTATTGTTACATACTCTCTCTCTCTCACTCTCCCTCTCTCTCTCTCTCTTTCTCTCTCTATTGCTCCATTAAGTTGAATGCGGCGTTGCGCGTGCGTTGTTGCATTTGCTGCTTACACAATTTTTACCGCATAACCTGCACACACACACACACACATGATCCATATATTTATATGCACACATACACACACATACGACACACGCACGCAAGCACCCCACTTATATAAATGGTTTTTGTTGTTTTGTGAGAAGAAAAAGAAAAACTCCACACGCGCTGACCGCGAGGAATTGTTTCAGCATGCTGGGAAAAAGTTATATATTTAAAAATTATTTTATTGTTTTATTGCACTTGCATTTACTTTTAATTCATTTTGGATTTGCTACGGTTCATTTGCCAAGTATAAACATACATATACATATAAACACATTAACTGTAAACAAACATAATAAATGTCGAAGAAAAACAAACAAGAAAAATCTTAAAAAAAAAAAAAACAAAAAAAAACAAACAACATGCATATTATGAATTTATATAAATGTGTATGTATTTGTGTTGTTGCAAATTCCTAAAAGAAAAAAGCAAAACTATGCAGAAATCAGTTCAGTTTACAAAAATAAAAATAAAAAAATACATTTATAAAAAGAAAATACACTGCAAAAGTTTCTATTCGCTGACAAATTCATGTGGAAAGTGTGCGTTAAATAGAAAAAATATGCATATAAAGAGAATTCAATCAATTTTTATAAACATTATTGACAAAACTGTTGAAAAAAAAAATATAAGTAAAAACAAAAAATAAACACACATAATACACATTGTTAATGCAGTTTATGGGTTTAGCATATTTCTATTTAAAATGTAAATTAATTTTTTTTTTCTCCAAAATGAACTTTTTTTTTTTGTTTTTAATATATATATATATATATATATACATATGCAAAACATCTATATTTGTATTATCTAAAACATGTACTATATAAAACAAGCAGACATTTTCTGTTGAAGTGATTCATCAAAAAGGTGGAAAATCCAGCTTCGACTACTTTTGTTTCACATTTTGCAAAGCATTGAAAAGGGTATATAGATATTTATATATATATATATAAATAAATATATATTAATATATACATTTATGAATGCTGTATTTTCATAGACATGATTTCGTATTAAATGTTTAACCTAGAAATACAGTCAACAAAAATAAAAAACAAAATGCAAATTAACGCATATAAGCAAAAATCATACGCAAATGTACTTGATGTCAGCTGTAGCAAAAAATAAAAAAAAAAATTAAAAAAATAAACAACAAAAAAATTAAATAATAAAAATGAAATGAAATGAGAAACAAATTCAATTCAACCAATGTTTAGCTGCAAAATTCCAACTGCTATCAGGAAATGAGATTTTGCAAAAAGCCCAAAATGGAAATTGAATGAAATAACAAAATCTAATATTAACAGCATGAATCTTAAAAGCTAAGTGTTTTTTTCTCAAAGGAAAATAAAAACCAAAACAAATAAAAACATTGTTAATTAAACATCAAATATCATTTAAAAAGAAATTGAAATAAATTAGCAGCCGCTGTTGCTCATACTCATAATCAAACAACGCGCCCCATGCGACTTATCGACATCGACTTATCGTTGGGTGGCTTTACACGCGAAAACGCGATTAAATTGCAAATCGACTATCGCAAAAGCGAGCCAGCGCTAGCGATATCGCAATCACAGCTGAGTAACACCACTAACCACTGGTTAGTGGTAACACGCCCATGCCACATATCGATAGTTAAGCGGCTTTGCAGAACAATTAATCGATTAAAGGATGCGCAGCCTGTGGTATCGATGCCACACAGCGCGAAGCTTTTGGCTTTGGCCCGCAATGGGCAACGGGCTAAACAGTTTGCGACTGACAACGCACCGCATCCCATTGTCCTGTCTGTGATGCTGTAGTCCTGTACCTGAGTGTAAACAAATCGCACGTGCTAAAAATAACTTCTAATCACAGTCTACTCAAATGTAGGACAACAAATAGTGACAAATTTTATTACATATATTTTCAACGATTTGAATCTACGCTGCATAATCTTGCGCGCCAAATGTGTTTGTTTTTTTTTTTTTGTTTTGTGTTTTGTTTAGCGGAAATGCATTTAATCTAAACACCTGTTCAACTCAAAGGGAGACTTATAATTAAGTTATCTCTCGCTTCCAGTGGCAGGCAATGCGGAGGCCAGGTAAGACATGCGAGCACGCACCTAACACAATTAGCTGTTTATTTTTAAAGCAAACACACACACACACACACAAACACACAGATGCACAAAGAGATGCTGCTCCAATCACACATGCACAATTAATGCGTCCTCGCACTCAATGCCAAGGACCAACAGCAACTGCAACAAGTAGCCACACAATGAAGCGGGCTTCACACACACACACACACACACAGACATTTAATTGCTGACACTCAATGCACACGTGTAGGCTACTTATATCTGCATATACATAAACATACATGCGCACGCATGTGTGTGTGTGTATGCTAATGCCTTAATACAGCGACAGCTCGCCCTCGGTTCCCGCTTGAAAATAACTGTGCTTAGAAAATAATTGAATAAAAACAAGCAAAACAAGTAAAAGCCTGCTGTGAATTACCCTGTCGCGACAAACGTTCCAACTTCCACCCTCTTCTCTCCTCTCTGTACATATAAAAACGCACTGTGCTTCTTCTTTACGAACCGTAGTTCGCAAATGCAGTGTGGATTAACTGCAGTCCGATCTTTCTCTCTCTCGCTCTCTCTCTCTCGTACCAAAGCGCAAGGCTTTACCGTTTGAAATGAGCTTCTCTAATTTTGAATTTCGTATATAATCGAAATAATCTTCATCTGTTTAAATCATGATGCAGTGAAAGCTCTCTCTTTATGTGAAAGATAATTCGCAAGAAAAATGTCACAGTTAAATCTCGTTAAAAAATGTTCAAAGCTGGCTTTTGTTTTCTAGAGTCGTGTCCCTCATTAGTTGGCCAGCTTAACTAGTTACAGCTTTTGAATTTCATTTTTTTTTTCAAAGGAAATGTACTTGGGGTCAGCTTAAGCTAATTAGTGGGCTAATCAAATAAATAATAAAATAAACAAGGACATGCGCTTTTTGTATTTGCGAGACAGCTTGTGACAGAGTCAGCATCCTTCTGCCAGCCAGTGTTGGCAAATGTCGCTGCAAAAAACTCGCTAGAAATAGCTGATTTAGCTTGCAGCGCATAAGTTGGGCGGATTTCTCGCCAAAAAATAGCTAAATGCGTTTAAATTCTGACTATTTTCGGCTGACAAGCTCTGGAAATAGCCTCATTTAACTAGAAAAGCCCCGAGTCGGCAACACTGGCCACATTTTGGCTTCCCTTTCCACTGTGCCCACCCATTCTGCGAACTTGCGTCTATTTTTGAGCGCTCCTCGACCAAGCCTCGACCCACGGCCATCCTTTGCGATCCCATAATCCGCTTTGCAATGCGCGTCCTTTGGCCCGACCTGGCTGACCCTTCCCTTCTCCTTTGCCTTTGCTATACATGAGCGTATTTTTCTCTTTAATTATGGAACATGCAACATTACATAATTGAAATGCCTTGCGAAAAAATGTTCGCTTTGAAATCTTTGTGGAAGCTCAAAACTCCTTCCAAGAGCGAACCGAGGGTCGAGCCAAACGCACACACACTCACACACATGCACACACATACAAACACACACATTTTTAAGCATATTCCATCAACATTTCAATAGGCTTTATTTGCGGCCGTTAAGCCTGGCAGTGGGGCGACTCGACAGAAAATCAATAAATCTAGATTTAATGAGTTTGCAATATTTGGCAGCAGCTCTCCCTCTCCCTCTCCCATTCCCATTCCCTCTCTCTGTTAGTATTCCCAATAGAGTTTGATTGCCCAAAAAAAAAAAGGGGTTAAAAACCGGAAAAGGGAATTTTCTTTGTCGAGCTCCGGCTGCTGGCAGCCATTTTGTTGGCAGGCTACATGAGAATATCTGATTTAAGCAGCGAACTTTTCAGCAACTAATGAAAAAAACCTGACTCTGGCAACGACGCTTTCAGCACCTTGCCCTTTCTAAGGAGTTTAAATAGGAAGTATTTAATTTTTCGTGTATATTGAAATTCCGACTACCAGAAAGGACATGCTGCAAGGATCTACATTCCTTCACACACAAAAAAAAAACACACACACATGCCCGCACACACATTAGGGTCCAGCTCTAGCAAGGACTTGCCTTTATCCGGTTCCGCTTGGCCGTGAACCCAACTCAAGTTGCAAGCTCCTGACACGTGCTTCCGCCGTCTTCAATCAGCTCTTTTCATTGACAGGATGCTGCCCTGAAGGACATCAGCTGGAGTGTGGACAGTATGACGACCGCCAACATTGACTACGACTATTTGCTCAAGTTTCTGGTGCTCGGCGACTCCGGCGTGGGCAAGACTTGCCTGCTCTATCAATATACGGACGGCAGATTTCACACTCAGTTCATATCCACGGTCGGCATTGACTTTCGCGAGAAGCGTCTGGTGAGAGGACCCTACCCCACCCCACCTCATCCTCGCCCCCTTCAACGAGATATCCAATTTGTGTGCTCCTCCGGTTTAGGTGTACAGCTCGCGTGGGAGACGGCATCGCATCCATTTGCAGATCTGGGATACGGCCGGGCAGGAACGCTTCCGTTCGCTGACGACGGCATTTTATCGGGATGCGATGGGCTTTCTGCTGATCTTTGATCTGACCAGCCAGAAGTCGTTCCTGGAGGTAACCAATTGGCTGGAGCAATTGCGCATGCACGCGTACACGGAGGATCCGGACGTGGTGCTCTGCGGCAACAAGTGCGATCTGCTGCAGCTGCGCGTCGTCAGCCGGGAACAGGTGGCCGCTTTGGCGCAACGCTATCGTCTGCCCTACATCGAGACGAGCGCCTGCACCGGCGCCAACATACAGCAGGCTGTTGAGCTGCTCGTTGGCCGTGTCATGGAACGGATCGAGAACGCCGTCGGCAATCGCGATTTCTCCCTGCTGATGGCTCAGTCCCGCCGGCTGCCCAACCTTGCCTATGGCCCGGAGCTCGTTCGTTTGCATCAGGCCAGCGACAATCCGCCGCGACGCAACTGCAATTGCTAGGTCGACCACGGAACCGGAAGTCGGTAGCTGGGAGCCGGAAGCCGTAGCCTACCCAAATCCATATCAAATTCAATTATATCCAGTTTTATTGCGTTTATCTATGTGTGTCTGTAAATAAATGTTGCTTGTTAATTGTTAATTCCAACGAAAGCGTCAACGTTTTCCAAACTCAGGATCCTAGGTTCCAATTACAACTTCCGCAAAGTTTGTCACGCCAAGTTTGACTCGTCCGCAAACGTCCACCTATCCGGAACGAAGAGTCCTAGGTCCCTATTATTACTTCCGCTAAAGTTGTCAGCATAAGGAACATGGACAGGGGGAGGGAGAGTTGTCCAGCTCTATGCAAAACATTTGGATGGAAAAAGATGGCGTGAAAGAAAAGAAGGATGTTTCCTTGGGATCTCTTCTTTGTGTCTTGGACTGGAGTTAAGTGCTCCATATTATTAGTTTTGGCTTGATTAATCGGCGGCGTCATCACAATACACCAATCTTTGCCTCATGAACTCGCCCGCAAGCGTCGACTTATTCCAAAAAAAGGAGCCCTAGGTTCTCATCACGACCTCCATCATAAGGAAGATGGGGCGATTGGAGGGGTTAATTTTAAAAGCTCATTTAAAACAATATACCGTTTTCTCGGAAGATGTAATGGAAGATTGGAATGATGTTTCCTTGGGATCCATCAGAGCTCTCCAAGCAAGCCCCACATTAAGCTAACACACCCAAAAAAAATATGAAGCCAACGGCTTACTAGCTACATTAATTTATTAACTTCCAGTGTCTAGTCTCTCGACCACAGCCAGTAGCAGGCGCTGCCTAGCCACAGCCAGATCTGTGGGACTGCCGACAGACTGAAGCTTCCGTTGCGCTCCTCGATCCATTGCTGGTAGTACTGGACGTCCGCATAGACGCCGGGCAGACCCGGCTCCGCACAGCCATAACCCCACGAGACGACGCCAATGAGCCGGTCCTCGTACACCAGCGGTCCGCCGGAGTCGCCCTGGCACGAGTCGGTGCCGCCACGCAGACGTCCGGCGCACAGCATGCCGGGCAGCAGGCCGCCGCCATAAATTCTGGAACAGGTCTTGTGTCGTATGGTGCTCACATTGGCCGTCAGCAGCACGTTCGACAGCGAGCTCTGCCGAGAGACTTGTGAGTTGATATACGGAGCAGCAATTAGCCGAAGGAGACTCACCTGCTCCGTGCGTCCCCAGCCGGACACCTGGCATGTAACGCCCGCGGGCGTCACTTCGCTGGCCAGCTGGATGGGCGCGATGGTAGGATGGCTGCCGTTGACGGCCAGACCGTTGGTCAGAAACATGACGCCGACATCGTCGCGCATGCTGTCCGTGCTGAAGGTGTTCATGTAGGCAATCGAACTAACATAGGAGACAATCGTGTTGTTGTTGCGCTCGTAGCGATTGAGCGTGCCCATAACGACGACGAACTCCTTGGCCTTGCGGTAGCGCTTCTTCGAGGTGCTGCAACACGAAGAACGGCATGAAGGTTGCCTTTTTAGCGGCTGCCCCATCCGAGCGTGACTCACTTGTACAGGCAATGGGCGGCGGTCAGCACCTTGTTGGGGCCAATTAGCGAGCCACCGCAGATGTGTCCGCTACCGAAGTTCTTGTCGTTCGAGCGCAGACGTATGGAGACCAGGTGCTTTGTCTCGGCCACGCTGGCAACCGTGCCATTGATGATCCGCGACTCGGGCAGCTGGCTTCGTGCTCCTGGTGTCGCTGCCACTGTTAAAGAGTAATCCATTTTGTAGCTGTCCAGGCAAATCTCCCATCTTTCCCTTCTAAATTGTGCTCAAACCCTTTTCCCATCAAGGGCAGACCCTAACGGAAGGACTTTCTCAAGGTAATCCAAATTATGGACTAGTTGGAGTTCACGGAGAGTCGTTTCCTCACACTCTCCACTTACTCCAACCATTTTCTTCACCTTGTCTCCAACTCCTTTTCCCATCAATGGAAGATCCTAACGGAAGGTAATGCCTAAGGTACTACGGATTATGGTTATTTTCTGAGAGCTCCCCGGGGAGTCGCTTCCAACCCCTTTTCCCATCAATGGAAGCCCCGAACCGCAGGACTTTTTCAAGCTAATTCAAATTTTTTACATATTGTTGGAACTTAACGAAAGGACTCCTTCGAGACAATCCATTGTATTTTGTTGGAGTTCACGGAGAGTTCACTTGCTCCAACCATTTTCTTCACTTTGTCCCCAACCCCTTTTCCCATCAATGGAAGACCCCAACGAAAGAACTTGCCTAAGGTACTACGGATTATGGAAATTTTGCTGAAGGTTGCAAGGAGTCGATTCTTGTAACAAGCTGCCCCATACCCCTCTGCATGCACAACCCCTCTTTCTTCACCGACCAAGTAAGCTCCTAACGAAAGGACCTTCCTAAGTTACTCTGGACTACGATTATTTTGTTGGAGTTTGCCTTCCTCCCTGTAACCAACCCCTCGAGCTGTCACATCTATGCTTCTTACCTTGCATCCCATTCCCCCTTCCGCCACAAAGCAACCGCCTTATGAAAATACTTGCTCTCCAGATTATGGGAATTTTGTTAAAGTTCAGCGGGAGTTGTTTCTTGTAACCAACTGCCTACATCGAACCCCGCCCCCGCCACCCCACCCATTTAACTATGCTCTCTACTCTTCGCGCTTTGGCCTTGCCGCCGTATCTTTTATGCTTGTATTTTACGTCAATTTCCGCCCTGTTGCAGCCGCAACAATACACAGCCGCGATGATTAACAAGAATATGAAACTTATCTACGGAATGCCGAAGCTTGAATACCCTTGCTTCCAGTATGATACGCATCTTTACTCGATGTGTAATAGATGATAAAGCTCGCAAGGGTTGGGTTTGGCTGGAGTAACTTTAAAAGCTTTTAATAGATATCTGTCGATAGCTATATAGTGCTCCGATCTGATAAATACGATAGTTCCCTCTCCATTACTCCCTCTCTTACTTCCCTCTCCCTTACTCTCCTTCATACCGCCCTCTCCCTTACTCTCTCCTTCTAAACACTAAAACATTTTACATTTTATAGCACTAAACATTTGACCGATATTTACTATGTCAGCTATATAATTATACGATCTAAGGAATATAACTATCTTAGCTTAAAAGACAGGTCTATGCCCACTACCTTACTCTCTCTCTCTCTCTTTCTCTTTTATCTCTATTTTTTTTTATATTTTATTTTATACCTTCTTATTACATTTAGACACTTTTCATACTTCCTTCTCCTTTACTCTAACCTAATCCTTCACACATTTCATGACAAAATTCAATATACTCTACAAAGGACGGCAACAAGACAAGAGAGGGAGAGCGTGAGAGGGAGAGCGAGATACTTGGGGTGTGTTCAGCTGATGGACCCATCCTCTTAATTATTACACCTTATGCTAACGCGCACACATACATACATGCGCACATGTGTGTTCGTGTGGGGGTTGCATTTAGCTAAAGTTCTTGGAATTGTTTATCTTACACATAAATAGCCATATGCACAGATAATACACGCCGTGCATTATTATAGATCAAAAAACAAACAACAAAAAAAAAAAAAAACAATAAAAATCAGTTAACAATATTTTTGTTGTTGTTGTTGGTTTTATCGTCGAATTTTCACGACCGAATTTAGTCAGCGCGCATTTCTAACTAAAATACCATATGAGAATCGACACGGTTCCAATTGACAATCAGCGGCGACTACTATCAGCCCCGTCCGTGGCCAGATAAGACTCAAAAAAAAAAAAAAAAAAAAAACATTATATGACACATTTGTAGACATCGAGAAGAAAAAAGAGATATCATAAAGCTATCAATTGGAATAGTTTTTGGGCTGTATTTGTAAAAATTGTCTTATAATATGTTTTGGGGAGAACATTTAGCATTATGTGTATAAATATATGTATAAGTTTATGGACTGATGTATTATAGACAGTTGAAGCCTGGATAATCCGCAGAATTTTATATCCCCCAAAGGGACTCAAAATCAACTAACTTAAACAAATATATTTCATGGAATAAGATATGTATGTTTATGAAAATGAAATAACATTTTTGAACGTTTATATGTGTCCTCTTTTAACCGGGATAATCCAGGCTCAATTGTACAGATATATATAGATATATTCGAGTTGCCAAATATTTGCGTTAACATTCGGTTTGTGTCTTTTTGGACGGCCGTTCTGATGCATTAAACCGATTAAGATACAAATACAGATATAGATATGTAAAAGTATGAAAAAATTTGCACTACAAATTCCAAGGCACTTATTTAAAAAGAGATTTCGTTTCGCATAGAAATATTACTAGAGTAAATATATATATAAAAAAAAGGAGGACGGCATAAAGAGATATTGTCTGATATAAAATGGAATCAAAAGAAGTTGATTTGTTGGACGCTTGCAGTGCATATATATATATATATGCACTATATATAGCCCTGCAGGCTGCGCGATTGACTGTGATGATGACGCGGCGGCTGGTAGCCCGGCTCCTGCATTTCCATCTGCATGACCAGGTTCTTTTGCTCGCCACGCGCCTCGTATGCCTGGCGTGCTTCGCGCTGTAGTATGAGGGCAGCTAGACCGAGCAGCATAAAGGTGACCACTGCGAGGGCATACGACCAGCCAAGCACATTGAATTTCGGATACATGAGCCAGTCGCGACGATAGGCGCAGCCACCAAATATGCACACGGCCAAGAACATGAACAGAGCTGCAACATGGGTCTTGTCTATAAAAGTATTTATATTTAATGCTCGAGTACGTACATGAGACGGCGGTGCCGATGTACGAGAGGCGGACCAGCAGCCACTCGTACTGCAGCACAGGCTTCAGAGGCAGCCGGATGATGGTGAGCGCCAGCAGGGTGAGCACGGCAAAGACAATGATGAAGGACATCGTCACGAAGCCCTGGACGGCCATCAGCCAGCCGGGTAGCAGATATTCACGTATAACATAATAATCCTAGAGCAACAGTTAGTTATTATATATATATATATATAAATTAACCGATGCAGGCCTTCAATATGAATGTACTCACATGGGAAAAGATCAAGTGACACCCCGTGAATTGCTTGGGGAACTGATAATTCGGGTAGACGAAATTCTTGAAGCAGTATTGCCACAGGCCCATATTCTTGAAGCTGCTGCGTGTCTCCTCGTACGACTCGATCCAGTACGGCGAGCAAAAGGACATCATCAGCACAAAGAAGCTGGCAAAAGTCACAATTGCCCCAAATACAACTCCATCTGCAAGCATACAGGCACACACACACACACACAAACACACATGCGATATTTATTTACGGTAAACAACATTGGCTGCGTCACTCACTTGTCGCACGAGGGTAGTCGCCCTTTTCCACACCCGTGTCGGTAGTGTCCTGCGACTGCTGTTTGCCCAAATTACGCATTGTGGACGAAGGCACTTAATTTTTAATTTAAAAAAAAAAAAACAGCAAATAAACACTTAATTTGCATAAACAACTGAAACACAAATTAGAAGAACGCACACACCCAACAGCAAGGTGGGGCTGGGGATGGCAAAAATATCGACAAATGTTAATGCGATAGTTACGTTGCACTGGTTTTTATATCGATATATATGCATTTACCAACTAATGATAGTTGTCTTACCTATCGATATTTGGGTCTCTAGTCGAGTGTGGCTGCTTATTGTTTACAAGAAAAAATCTGGTCACACTTAAATTTAGTTTAGCGCATTTTTGGCTTTTACTTGTTCTATTAAAACTAATATTAACAATACATACGACAACAACATAATTAAAGAACTTGATCCACCTCATGATGCTCCAAGTGCTTCATATAAGCCAGAAAGCATGTCCAGCACAGGCTGCACACACTGATAAAAGGCACACGATTGCGTTCCGGAATCAGCGAGAAGTTGATGGTGGCCACCAGGGGCCAAACGGCCAGCGCCACCTATTAAGTAATACATATATATGAATTTACGGTTCTATTGATTTATCTGTGCGTACCTTGTAGGTGGGAATGAACTTCTTGCCGACCTCGGCGACGGCTTCCCGTATTGTCTTGGACTCGAGCAGGCTCATAATGAAATAGAAGCAGGTCATCGCTGCAGGCGTATACGAAATGGTCTCTACGGCGGCCTTAACAACACCATGGCGCAGTGATGTATGTGGCCACATGGCGCTGGAAACCTGTCCAAGGTGTGCAAACGGATAACGTTGGCCAGCACGAGTCTCTAAATGAAACATACCTTAACCCAACCGTAAAGCGTGGGCGCCACAAAGAGTCCACCGTACATGCTGAAGCGCAGGACGCGCCACCAGTCATAGTTGCCTGCAATCTAGCTGTTAGCAGTCAGGTAGTCAGTAACAAGACAGCCTTTGCTCACCCCAACTCTTGTTCTCAAATGTTTGCTGTATCAGGCTGCCCGTGGGCCATATTAGGCTATACGAGATCATGCCACGCGTGATGGGATACCTGGTGACGAACGTCTTCAGTTGTTGCCACAGCAGTGAGGAGGCCATTTCGCTGCACACACATAATGTCTGGTTAAAAATTGCACACAAAAGAAGCAAAATGGCGGGCGTGCCCGATTAGTAGATACCCTGAACGCAGCACCAAGCTGTCGTCTAGCTCTTGTTGTGGATGAGATCGGCGAACAGATGGACGGACTGACATGACATCGACCCAGCTAGTCGTCGTGCTAAAGAAACTATATTTTTATGGGTAAGTACGTATGTAAACGTAAACCATTTAATCCTCTTTTGCCCATATCGCTGGGTGTCTAAACATATGTAATTCATGTTAATTAATTCCGTCCTCAGCTCTAGAACAACACATGGCCAACTTTTGACAATACGGGTCGCGCCCTATCACAACACCCGCTGTGTGCAGCCCAAATAAATGCAACTGCTGCCGCGTTGCCACAAGCCAAACGACATGCATTTGTCCGGACTAATTGTCGTGTGCCTGCTGGCCAGCAGCACGTCAGGAGATCAGGCGGAGAATCAGGATCAACAGGATGGCAAAATAGTGAACGGCACGGCGGCGGCAAAGGGCGAGTTTCCCTACGCGGTAAGCGAAGGCAAGCTAGCACGATATGGACTAAGACTGTAAACTGAGTCTACATACTCAGAAAAGATTCTAGCTAAGCAAAGATCAAACCCGGGGAAGGGAGGATTCGAAACAGAATGCCGAACGTTAGTTAGACAATATTTCAGAGATTAAGCTGACCAGGCATAATATCACGAGGGAAGCTTTATCATCACGATACTGCTAGGGCAGGAGGCAAGCTGAAGCACAGGAGAACCTAGTCTACCCAATCTGTCTTGAATTGAATGTCGGATCGAGCAGAAAGAAGAAAAGGACGTATAGGAGCTATAAAAAAAGATCATTTTGTAAGGATCAATTTGTGTATAGATCGTTAAATCCTTAGGAGCACCACTTGGTGAAACCACGAACGTTGCCTGGCATTATTCACCCAACTCCTAAAATGGGAGGCGAAATTAAGTTTATGATAAAGAAAAGTTTTTGATCTTAAATCAATCCATTTTCTCATAATTATATGGCTAGGATCAGCTCCCCTTTGGGATGATGTGGTTTAAGGTTTCACTCTTAGTATTCAAATAAATTTAGGACTCGAACCGGCTTGTTACAACCGTTTGCTTTCTTTTTATATCAAGAATCGATCGAACCGAATCAGTATGTAGTCTTAATCAAGAAATACAGCAAATAATTAAACGAATCTCTGCCTTTACAGGTATCGCTGCGCCGCGCCAAGACGGGCCACCATTCGTGCGGAGCCACATTGTTGAACGCCGGCTGGGTTCTGACCGCGGCGCATTGTGTGCGTAGCGCAACGCCGGAGCAGCTGAATGTGCAATATGGCAGCAACACGATCGAGCGCAATGCTAGCCAACTGGCCTCGGTGGCGGCAATACATGTGCATCCCGGCTATGAGCCGCAGGACAAGTACATACACGACATTGCGCTGCTCCGGCTGAGGCAGTCTGTCGTTTTCAACGGCAGCGTGCAGCCCGTCCGCTTGCCGGATCCCCAACAGCAGACACGGGCCAATAGCAGCGCTGTGCTCGCAGGCTGGGGCCTGAATGCGGTTCGTATTTAGAGCCCAGCATCGTTTGAGTATCCGAGTTGAAAACACGTGAATTACCCGATGCAGGGCTCTTTTTTTTATATGCACCAAATCCATTTGATTTACTCAAACTTTCCACAGACTGGCGGCGTGGTGCAGCAGCAATTGCAGAAGGTGCAGCTGCAGGTGTTCAGCGATGAGGAGTGCAGTCGCCGCCATCAGACGCAGCTGCACAGCAGTCAGTTATGCGCCGGTGTACCCGAGGGCGGCCGTGGCCAGTGCAGCGGGGACTCAGGTGGCCCGCTGCTCGCCGGCATGGACACCCAAATTGGCATAGTCTCGTGGAGCATAAAGCCCTGCGCGCGACCGCCCTATCCGGGCGTCTTTACCGAAGTGTCCGCCTATGTGGACTGGATTTTGCAGACGGTGGGCGCGGAACCAACCGACGATCCGCTTGCCTCCCAACTGTGGATCGGACAGCTGATTGTGGCGCGGGTGCCACCGCCCCCCTTGCAGACATAAAGGTTTTGTACTTAAATGCCTTTTATTTTCCTACAATTTGTTACTAAATTAACACATACACAATTATTTACAACTAGCAGAAATTGGTCGGCATTGCCGGGCGTCAAATGAATAATGCTGCAAATCAATTGAATATAAAATTGGGATCGATTTTAACCGACAACCTCTCCCTTATATATAAAAGATAAAAGTTTTATGCGTCAGGTCTGGCATTTTCCATCTGCTGCTGCTGCTGCAGTTCGCGCGTCTTCATATACGCCAGAAATATTGTCCACATCAGGCTGCAGATGCTTACAAAGACGACGCGATTGTGCTCGGGCACCACGGAAAAGTTGATCGTCTGCAGCACGGGCCAGACGCAGAGGCCAACCTGTGAACCGGCGCAATAAAATTCCCATTTAGAAAAGCAGAGTCTGGCGGGTTGTGCGGACAAACCTTGTATGTGGGCAGCACCTTCTGCTTGGCCTCGTCGACGGCCTGAGGAAATGTCTTCAGCTCCAGCAGGCTCATGCCCATAAAGAAGCTGACACAGGCGAACGGGCCGTAGCTGATTTGCTCGGTTATCGCCTGGAAAGCATATATCAATTGATGACCTAGCCTCTTCCTCTGTCCCTCTACTCACCTTGACAATGCCGATGCGCAGATTTGTTTGCGGCCACATGGCGCTGGTCAGGCGCACCCAGCCGTAGAGCGTGGGCGCCACATAGAGCCCCCCGAACAGGCTAAAGCGCAGGGCACGCGCCCAGTCATAGGTCTCTGTTGGAAATGTGGGCAAGATTTGTGTTTCCTTTTTTGATGTTCGATTGTCATTGCCGAAACTTACTCAAATTGCGTCCCTCGAGCGTCTGCTGTATTAGGCTGCCCGTGGGCCACATTAATGAATATGTCACCACACCCTTGGTCATGGGATGCAGCTGGAAGTAGGCAACGAGCCCGCGCTGCCAGCTGCTGAGCCTCGTTTGGGCCAGCTTAAACACTTTGGACACCATTTGAGGCGCAGTCCTTAACTTAAACAATAACTAAATACGAAACGGCCACTAAGGCGAATAATAATAAGTCATTTGGCAGGGCAAGAGAAACTAAGACGACGACGACAACAACATATATCCGTAAATTCCCCTAGAAGCCGCCTCCTTCTGGCACCCAAATGTGTAAAGTCCCCATACAAATGCCCCTCGAATCCAGGCAACTCAGCTATTTTTTAGCTCAATTTGTTTTTTGTTTTTTTTTTTTTCAAAGGCCTTGAACTGATTTGGCCTTTTTCGGCCAACTTTATAGCAAAATTGTGCTCAGCAAGCTAATTCAGCTATTAAAAGTTATTTTCAACATTGGATTCAGCTACTTTTTAAAGCAGCACTTGCCAACACTGGTCTGGGTCAATGTCATTCTGTGTGTACTCTTTTAAATGTAACTTATACATTTCTCTTGCTGCATGGGCTCAAGTTCAGCGAGATCTGGTAAAAAATGGTACTTGCTTTTTTTTCTCCTTCCTTTTGTTGCACTTTCTCACTTTTACTGGCCTTTTCTTGGGTTTTGAATCAACTGAATAGGCTGGGTTAAATGTATCTAAATGTCACAATGGTTGCACAAATACTGAAAGTGTTTCGAGCATTTGAATTGCCAAAAAAAAAAAAAATAAAGAAATCTCACCTCATCTCGTTGCATTGAAAATTTGCGATCGTGCAAAGCTTTTCCGTTTCCGTGTCGCTCAATTGCTGCAATTTAAGTAGAGAAGAGAAGGGGGGAGGGGGGGTGCGGTGCGTTGTCAAGGGTGCTGGCTTATGAAAGCTGTAAATATTATAAATTTTGGTCGTAAACTTGCCAAAAAGTTAGCCCCCAAAAATGCGCGCCAATTTTCTAATGGGAATACTCAAAAAGTGCAAGCGCAATAAACATCAGTGTTACCCATTCAGCAATTTTCTGGCTAGACTTGGCCATTTTTTGTGCTCGTCAGCCGTAAATACTTGCAATTTATAGCTGATTTAGCTACTTTTTTTTGCATATCAAACTGCTAGCAAGCTATTTTTACCTAGTTTAACATTGAAAGCGAGTTATTTAAAGAATCACTTGGCAACACTGATAAATTAATATATGTATATAATTAGTAAAAGTATTATTCATATGGCACACAAATAGTATGTACGCACTTGTGCACGTGCGGCTTTATTTGTGGACAGCAAATTTCCCTGTAGCGTGTGGGGGGGTGGGAGAGGGGTAGCCAAAATGTGACCGTGTCATAACAATTATCTTTTGCATGGGGAAACGTTGAGCACGCACACGCACACGCGCATGTTTATGTAATTGTGTGTCAGCATAGATCTGTGTAAGCCCACATGGGAATGTTTCTATGTGCCTTGTGGGTTTTACAACCTGCAATAAATTCTTGGAAAACAAGCTTGTCATCCCACTAACAACAACAACAACTAGAGGAGATTTGTTTCGTTCCATTTCTACGTAAATATGTATGTATATTAGCCATGGCTGTCGCGTCGTCGCATTTTAATTCGCATACTTACATATGTAAGCACAAACGCATATGTACATACATATATGATTGCACATATGTATCTATGTATGTGTGTATTCGAGCGATTAGCTAGAAACGCAACTAAAACTTATTGTTATGCTGGTTTTTGTGCTATGTGCATAAATGAAGGACGCCAAAGAGCGTCACAGTCGACGTACTTGCCGCTGATTGTATTAAACTAAACTAAACTAAATTGTTTGTGTCAGCTGTTTGGCGGCGTCTGCGTGCTGATGAAAAAGCTGTGCGAGCTTTCTAATACCCTGCAACGCACCCAGTTGCAGAATGGGTATTTTCGCCGTTATTTCTTATATATTCTTATTGGCGTGCTCATAGCTAGTTGCATATCAGACTTTCTTTAATATCGTGTGCAATTAGCAGTGATTATTCCAATTCGAATATGCTACGTGGGTAAATTCGGTGTGACCGTATATTTGTAAATTTAAAAGCGAACTGTGCTGATTTGTGTTCGGCCGTAAGTTTGCGACCGTTATAATTAAAACGTTTATGAAATGTAAGCAATGCATATTCCAAGAATGTCATTTTTACTGTCAACTTGAGGTCTACCAAAGGGAGATCAGTTTTCATCGGCGTCCTTCACATCACCCTGCCCATCAGACTTGGCATTCTTGACGGCGGCCACTTGCTTATTGAATACAAAAGTATGATACTGTTTTGCCAGCTGGGCACACTTGAGCGGCTCGGTGCCGTACTGACGATAGCAGGATATCAATTGTTTTTCCATATTCTCGATGTCCGCCGAACACTCATTGGCCTTGGCCCATTTGATGGGCTGCCCGAACAAATTGTGCACACGGTCCAGTGTCTTGGTGAATTGCGTCTCTTCAATTTCCGTAGAGCGCCGTGCCCAGGATTGAGCGATCGCCATCTGTTGTTGTTGTTGTTGTTGCTGATAGGGTTGCACTTGGGGCTGTTTCTCACTGCTGGCGGCATCGCCCGCCCCGCTCACTGTATGGACTCCAGCTGTTGTCGCTGTTGTTGCTGTTGTTGCTGTCGTTGTTGTACGACTGCAATGTTCACAGACAGTGGAGACGTTGCCCTTCTCCGCTTTGGTGGCCTTCTCCACGCGCTCCAAGACGTCCCGGCTGATCTGAAATGGCGATGTATTCGACATTTGCACAGTTTGCGGTTTGCTGTTATTAGCGCCCATATCGAAACTTATTCAAAATTGCTGTTAATGTTGTTCGTGATTCGTATAGAATTTTTCTTGTTTCATAAAAATTGAATATAGTCTGATAACTCAAATTAAATTTTGTAACATACATAGCAGTTTATTTTGCTTGCGTCTGGGCACACTTCTGATTCTATATATATATTTTTGTGTTTGAACAGAAACATCGATGCGAGTCAAATATTTATCGATATATCGTCTCACATCAAGCACATGCAACATTGTACGTCAAAAAACGCATCAACCAAACATTTATTTATTGTGCATTTTTATGTATGTAAGCAATATAAACAATCAATATGCACGAAGAACAAACAACCGATGCGCCAGGTAAGTCCATGATCAAACCGTCGAGAATGTTTCTAACCGCGCCAATTATAGCTGATGTAGCGTCGCCCAGCCAAGTGATGCGCCGTTTTGTGCAGTGCATGGACGACGACGATGTGCGTAGGGAGCTGACCGACGACTGCATTCTCAGCGTGCTGGGACGCAGCATTAAAGGCGTCAGTGCCGTAACTGGTTACGTGCGCACCCAGCTGACCGGACGCTACAAGCATGTGGGCTTTCGGGCTGCCAGCCACTGCAGCGAGGCACAGAAATCGCTAATCATGGAACGCTACGCGCGCAGTTTTCATGTGCTTCGCAGCCGCCGAAAGGTGGCTAAGCCCATGCCCTCATCTCTGCACATGCGTCCAGAGAGTGATGACGACGAGGACGGCGAACCGGATGCTATCCAGTGCCCCAATCAGCTGGTGACACCTCCACGCTCCAGTGCTCACGCTCAAAGCCCGCAACTGTTGCATTATATCGAATCGTCTGGCGTGCTGGAGGCAGCTCATGAGCACGATGATGGTGGCATTGATCTGGGCGAATCGTGCCAGGTGAGGCTGATGCTGGGCTATCGCTGTAGTTCACTCGCCTATACAAACGAATGTGCAGTAGAAATCAGCTTGGTCATCTACGAGAAGCTTAAGCCCAGATCTTTGCAACATCCTGCACGCATCCGGACCTCATCGGGCGTACAGCGTCAGTCGCGAATGCGCAGCTCACGAAATGTCCACACGGACGATGAGGGCGAACTGCCGGCAACACGCAGCGTACGGCGTACACTCTTCACCAGCGCCGACTGCGAGGAGTCCGAGGAGTCCCTGGTGCGAATGTTGCCCGAAGATAGCCCAGCCAAACCGCCGCCCGCTTTGACGCCGCGTAAGCGTCAGCATAAAACCGATCCGAATGTCAAGTCCAAGCGACTGACGGTACTTGGCGGCGGCATGCGTTTCTAGAGGTATCAGCCTTTTGGCCAAATGAATCAACCGGATTCGTTTTAGCTCAATATTGTACCAAACTAAATTATAGATTTCAAGCAAAGCCCATATTGGGCGGATTGTTAATTGCGAAGACTGAGCCCAGTTGTAGAGAATATACAAATAATGTTGTCTTCGGACTAATACGAGTACATAAGATTATTCAAAACATATACACCAATTGTATATATATATATATATTATATTATAAACCAATATATTTTTGTATTCTTAAGTGTTAAAATAAAAGAAAATATTCAAAAGATTCGAATCGCCATCAATATTAAAAAAAAATCCAATAAGTATAAATTTTACGCTCAAACGCAAAGAAAAGAATCTGCCAAGGAAAGACAATACCAAAAAATAAATAAAATACATTTTCAATTAATTTTAAAACGAATTTGTTTAATTATTTTGATATTTGAATCGGATAATCGATATAACAATCGTCGTGCAGCTATCGATATTAATTGAACAACCCTGTATTGTGAAAGTGTGTCTTCGTTTTCATGTTGTTTGAAATTTTGGCGACGCTAAAGAGTTTAGCAACAATATGGCTTATTTAAATAATTCGGATAACAAAAAAGCGGATTTCGACTGGGACGAAATAAACGTTGGCGATTTTAATCTAGATCATTCGGAAAATTTCTTTGGTACGCATAACCTGAGCCTGCTCGTCTCGATTTACAGTTAACTTGTAACACAAAAGAAAATTGCGCCATTTTAGCAGCTGCATTTTCAGCGCCGGCGCCAAACAATCTTGGCGATGCGATAGACTTAAGCCACAAGCTGGATAATTTAAATAATACTAGTCAATTAAAGGCATCTCTTGACTGGAACGTAGGAAGAGCTGATGCCTACATAATGGAGCATTCGGAAACTATTTATGGTATGCTCCCGCGACTGATCTTCGATTCACAGTTAATTTTGAAAACTTCAATTTTAGCAGCTTCCACTGCCAACAAGGAGAACATAAGGGGTCCTTTGAACTGGAACAATGAACCGGCACATGAGATAAAACAGGAGGTTAAACGGGAGTTACAGTTTAATGATATCAAAATTCAGGAACCACGCGCTTGTTTGCAAAGTGTGGAAATGGCAGGCGAACAGCAGGAATATGCGCCGCTCGAATCTGAATTTCAACTGCAGCTAAATTTGACGCCAGTTTTGCCGCGAATGGAGGAGTTTCACTGTAAAGTGGAGTTGGACGACAATGACGACGGCTATCAGCCCCGAAAATTGAATCCGCCGGAGCCGTCGCCGGTCTCCGTTCAGTCCCAATCGCCGTGCCAACTGGAACTACAGGACACAAATAGCGTGAAAAACGAGCCGCTCGATTATAAAGTTAAACTTCGGCTCGGCTGGACTCCACAGGCTGAAAAGCCAGGCGATGGACACGCCGCTGCCGGCGCTGTGAAAGCGCCCCGGGCATATGAATGCAAGGAAGTGTATCAGGCCAAGCGGGAAATGGCATTACGACAACGCGAGGAGGAGGAGCGCAAAGCACGCGAATTTCATAGTAAACCGATGCCAAACTTCAAAGCCCTGCATAAACGCTTGGCGAACACAATAGTCATTCATAGAATTACTGTGCCTATAACTCCGGAAACAGTTAAGCACTCATATGCCGACATGGAGCGACGCAAGCGGAGGGAACAGGTAAATGTGCAAGTAAAATATCAGTTTAAGTGCTTGCTAATTGAAGAATCTGCAGGAAGCCAAAATGAGTCAACAGCAGCAAGAGAATGGTGAAATGATGCGCAGAGCCATGCACGAGGCAAAGCCATTTCAATTGCGTGCCGATCAGCGCGTGCGCGAACGTCGGGAATATAATCATGTTGTGCAGTGTCATCAGGAGGAGAAAAAGAAGCAGGTAAATCATAATGTAAGTTCTTATTTAAAATATTAAGTCAAAATTCTGGTCACATTGCGCCCAGTGTTGCGTTTGTGGTACATCATTGTGTGCATTCGATAACGATAACTTGCATGGGCCGTCTATACATTGCGCTAACATAGCAATATAGAGACTCATATTTGCGTTAGCAGCTGCAATTCAGCAGTTGGGGCAAAATTAACGTTTGGGCTTGAGCGTGTTTCAGTTTTAATAAAATCGTTAGTTTGTTAAGTAAAAATCCTACACAAAACTTTAAGTACGCAGAGTAGGCTGGCAAAGTGAACAAATTTGGCGCAGTACAAATATCAAAAGCCATTCTACACATAATATATACGCACGCACACACACACATGTACTACATATCATACACATATATGTATGTATGCATACTTGTTGTTTGTGTGTGGTGTGAGTCATGACGTTTCGGTAAACGGACGGCGTAGAAAACAGTTATATTGTGCATATACATATATATATTGCATAAAGGGCGCAACGCGTGACTAACCGTAATTGATTTAAAAGACAACAAATTTCGGCACAAATGTAACAGAGCACAAAACTCGAAATTATTGTAAAACCAAAAGGATTATCAGCAGCTGCTGCGCCCAAAATATATACACACACACACACACACGGGCATACAGGCACACTACAGTCAGACAGGCAGACATATATATATACATACATACACTCTGAGCAGTGGGAGCAGCAACAACAACAACATTGTCGTCACGGTTTGTGAAGCAACAGTCGCACACTCTCTCTTTCTCTCTGTCGGTCAGTCGCTCGCTCGCTTGCACATTGAAGCTTTGTGTAGCAAATTGTAAACTGTAAACAAAGCTCCCGAAGGGGCGCCACTTTCGCCGCAGCAAGTAGCAAGCAGACCGCAAACGCGACCACAAACCACAAACAAAATGGTTGATCGTCTTGTCAACTCGGAGCTAAATACACGTCGGATCGCCTCCGTGGAGAGCTGTTTTGGCAGCTCGGGCGTGCCGCTGGCTGTGCCCGGACGTGTTCTGGTCGGCGAGGGGGTGCTGACAAAGATGTGCCGCAAACGGCCGAAATCGCGTCAGTTCTTCCTCTTCAACGATATACTCGTCTATGGCAACATTGTTATTGGCAAAAAGAAGTACAACAAGCAGCACATAATGCCGTTGGAGGAGGTCTCACTAGAGTCCATACCGGACAATCAACAATACAGGAACGGCTGGTATATACGCACCACGACGAAATCGTTTGTGGTTTATGCGGCAACCAGCACCGAAAAACAGGAATGGATGGCTCATATCAATAAGTGTGTGGAGGATTTGTTGCGCAAGAGCGGCAAGAAGCCGGTGGAGAATCATGCCGCCGTTTGGGTGCCCGATGCGGAGGCCAGCATTTGTATGCACTGCAAAAAGACGCAGTTCACGTTCGTTCAGCGGCGTCATCATTGCCGCAACTGCGGCGCCGTTGTCTGTGCCGCCTGCTCCTCCAAGAAGTTCCTGTTGCCCCAGCAAAGCGGCAAGGCGCTGCGCGTCTGCGATGCCTGCTACGAGCGTCTACGGCATACGCCAGCCAGTGGTGAACCGGATCCAGATACGGATGCCACCGAGCGCAGCACCGGCAAACTGAACGCCAGCGGCGCCGATAGCTCCAATGATGATGACACAGATGAGGACACTGCCTCGCCGGCAGCCGAGGCGCACGACGAGCCGCGCTTCTACGGCGACAACAGCATGTCGTCCGCCCCGGATGATTCCATCGGCAGCGCAACGACGACACCCGCAACAGCAGCAGCAGCAGCAACCGCTCCAAATAACTGCTGAGTAGCATTACAACCGACGCTGTCCAAATTATTGGCACACGGGATGCGGATTACTGGATTACTGGTACAAAAAACTACATATTTCCCCATTTTACGTTACATATTCGAACTGGGCTCGGCACTTCCTGCCCGATAACACGATCAGTGCTGCCAATTTGGCCAAAAGTTACAATCTTAACTGATTCAACCTTCTTCACTTCAGGCATCTCTAAGATTGGGTGACTAAAACTGCCAATTCGGCTATGTTCAGCCGAAAACCGTTAAACAGTTAAACTGATTTAGCTATTTTTGGCGTCTCTTGGAGATCTGCTAGGAATCCTGTTGCGAATTTTCGCATTGAGTTTCTTTTTTTTTTTTTTTGTCAAGTTGGCAACACAAAAAGCAACGTCTTGCGGCTCCCTACATGTTTTTCATTCAGTGTTTTATGCTAATCTTATCAGCTTCAGCTTCTGCTTCTCCAGATTGTTGCCGCGGTACCCTATTCATAGACGCACAAAAGGGGTATATCCATTTAGCTGTTTTTAAAATTGAATTTAGTTCCTTTTTTTCTTTGGCAATTTGGCAACACTGAACGTAACGTCTTTTGCGGCTCTTTACATGACTTTAATTTTGTGCTTTATGCTAATCTTATCAGCTTAAGCTGCTTCTGCTTCTTTAGATTGTTGCTGCGATACTCTTTTCACAGACGTACGAAGGGGTATATCCAATTGGCAGCTGACGCATCGCAATATAGAGCTTAAGTAATATTTCTATAAGTGAAGACTTATTTCGCTTCCGCTTCTATTAGACTGTAAACAGCGTATTGGTTAGTTGCCTAACGCGATTGCAGTCGCTTCATTTCTCTCGCTATTCGCCCTGACTGGCGCATAAAGCATGTCAAGCGGATTTACCCAGCTACAATAATAACTATATGCGTGTGTGTGTGCACATATACATACGCACATACATAATAAAGATACGCAGATATAAAGTCCGCTTCCCGCCTATCACATGCTCTTCAGATGTTGCTAACGGTTCCATGTTCTTTTTTTTCATATACCCTGGAACGCCTTAAAACTGGGTAAAAGGGTATCATGTTTTTATGCAAATGTTTGTAACCAGCCGCTCCTCTGCCCCATAATGAATATATATTCTTGATTAGTAGGGCGAACTATGTTGATCTGGCCATGTCCGTTTGTCTAATTATTGATCAGAAAAGTCTTTTAATTGCCTTTCAATATATATCGTTTAGGCGACATGATCTTTGAGCGTAATATATAGTTTAAATAAGCAGTATATGTAGATTAAATTATATATTGCCCCTTGGTATCTACACTCTTGAATGCCATACTTAAGATTTATTGCTTGGCAAAGTGCAGAAGAAGCACAACTCGTCGGTGTGCACAGGGCGTCTGCTAGCCTGGCACTCCCGACTAGCACGCTCTTGCTTGTTATTAAATTCGCGTAGATACGAACACAATATTAATGATACTCGTATTCATAGTTATTTAAATAGAGTGTAATTTAGATTTTCGTTTTGTGTCTTAGCAGTTATCAAAATAATCAGAATTAATCAAACCATAATCCGAATAATTCATCAAACTACTCGTATGACTCAGAATAATTCATCAAACTACGCGAATGACTCAGCAAAATTCATCAAACTACTCGAATGACTCATTGCACGTGTGCGGAAGAAAGGGTGAAAGGCGGCAATTCCCAAGTATAAAGTCAAATTAAGTCGCAGATTTAGCTACGATATACATTAAAAGGTCTCCAGAAGATCATGTTGGAATACCAGATGTTCACCCAAAAGTGATGTCCAGAAATACACAATAAATAGAGCATCAAGTTCTCGTATATGCCCCTGTTAATGATTTATTCAAATGGATGTTGCGAAAACTGTTCGTAAAATTGTTCGATGACCGCCAAAGCGGTCTGTTTGCAGAGCTTTCACTGTAATTGCCGTCGTACGGTTCGCTTCTTTTCTGTTTGCCATTTGGGGCCCTTCTTCAGTTGAGGTATTTAATGATCAAACCCATCTACTCTTTAATTGACCGAATGCGGGCAGCTTCAAAAGTTGAGAAAGCGCAAAAAAAAATAGTAAATAATTAATGGAGGCTGCTCCCAAGGAGGGCGAACGGAGAACCAGAAGTAAACCGCGCGTCCTGAAGATCTTTTTGCTCACTTATTTTTCTGAAGGAGCGTTCCGATCAATTACGATTATTTCTGGATAAGCGAAGTTTGACAACAGAATGGAAAAATTCTTATCCAAATTTATTCATCATTTGCGAAAGCTTTAACTAAATTAATGACTGGAACCATTTTCACATTCATTCATCTTCTACCCTGAAAGATTGGAAACATTCACATTCATTCATTTCATAACCTGGACCGCTAAATACAAAAGACAGAAGCAGGAATTATCGCATAGTATTTATGATTTACAGGAAATTACAGGAGTTAAAGACTTGAAATTTGGAATATCTATATTCATATACGCAAAACTTTTGTAATTACTAGAAAATCGCATGATCTCTAGATGCAATTAAAAAATATTTAAAGGTAGAGATTCACGTTTATTTATAAGTCACATTGAAGGACTGGAAATGTAAGGAAGGTCGTATATGTCGAACATATAACAATCATGTGTAGAAGAAATCTGGAATGCTTGTAAGGGCAGCTCAGCGCTAGGATCTGGGTATATCCCATAAAGATCGGATCATATGCACTGAATTAAGTCAGGAATTCATGGAAGCTATCTGGAATGATTGAAGGGTGGCCGGCTGGTCCCAGGGTATTCCCTAGTCGGATGCTGTCTTTGTAATATTTATGTGAAACAAAAAAAAAACACCTGCTAAAGTGAGCGATCGAGAACTGATCCATTTTCCCATTTCACTCGATTTTGCAGCAAGACGAACAACGCAAGCAACGCGAGCTGGAGGAAACAAAGGAATTACGCAGAATGATGGAATTCAAAGCTCGTCCAAACCCATTTAAATAACTAACCTAAATAGTTCTACAATGACACAATAGTATACATATATTTATATATATATTTTTTGTTCTCCAAATGTTTTTTGATTTTTGCCTAACGTTATCGCTGTCCTCCTCTGTTCTGTGTGGTCCGTAATGAATCATTGCATTTTGGTGGAACGGAAAGGGGAACGTGTGGGGGTATATGGTCGCCGGTTGAGAGTTTCCTCGCCGGGTTTGGAATTTCTATAATTAAATCATGGTTAGGATTTACTTTCGGAAAAACACACTCGACAAACGAAAATTGAGCAATCGTCGATTGTGCAATTAGTTAATGCGAAATGGAGTTGAATTGTTCAATAAACATAGCTATCTATTTTTTATTTTATTATTTTTTTTATTTTTTTTGTAAATGTTAACGATATTTTATTCAAATCATTCACTCAGCGCGGGGTTACGGTTGCAGTTGTACTGTTCAATAGAGAGAAAACATTCAAATCTACAATATCATGTTTATATAATATATGAATTAACACCAATTTTTTTTTTTATTGTTCATTTTATGTATAACCGATCGTCTAGCATGAGAGGTTCATAAATATCTATACGCCTAAGCAATTATTAATTGTTTTCTATTTGTATAAAGCAAAACAAAAAAATAAATCTATTAATATTGTAAGCGCTGTCGATATTTGCTTTCGCATCTATATCACAAATTCCATATTCTTAAGGCAAGCTCTAGGCTTCAGATAGAGTCCATCCGAAGCGATAAGTTATATTTATTCGGCTGTGCATCGGGCTCCTTTTCTTTGAAACGTTTGTTGTATATAATCAAAAATAGCAGACATTTTTATTACAACAGAGATAGACAGATCTCATCTGTCGTAGCTGAAGGAGGCTCCTTAAACGATATTCTCTGGAGCCTCCTGACTACACACCTCCCATTAAGATGTCTGTTCTCCTACTTGGCTGTCTATGTTCGACCTACTGAGGTTGAATTTATGACGTATCCGTCAGCTCCAAATTTTTGAATTTGTCTGAGTCCGTCTTCAATTTGTCCGCGATGCAATGCCTCAGACATTGTTACCCAATCTCTAAGTCGAAAGCTAAGCCCCTTGTCCAGTAAAATTCCAATTTAGTTGGCGGTTCTGCCAGGATGTAGGAGGCTGTCATCTATCTTGCCTTGTCATGCCTTAGATTTCATTTGTGAGTCATCTGGCATTAATCGCCACTCAAATGCAATTGTTTATACTCATTGCTAGTAGATAGATAAATTATGAATCTTAACACTCTTCTATGAAAAAATGTATTAAAATGAACTCAAGAGGGTGCACGACTTGGTGCGCTATGAACCAGTAACTGAGAAGTCTCAGCAATTATCAAATTTTAAAGGGGAAAAATTGATTATTTTAAACGGGGATAAATTGATCAGATTTGACCCATAAAGAGGCAGCTTTCTAGAACTCGTAAAAGTCATGTTTGGCTAATACAACTCGGGGAAACAAAAATGTTTTTTACACAATTTCTTAAATTTCGACCGAGCATGACTCGGGCAGATTATATGATATGTCGATACAGACAGGCAGACTATGTCTATGTTGAGAATATAAATATTGGATGAGTTGAGTTCGGTTGTGTTTCTTACAAATCGTGACGGAATTATTAAAACCTTTAAGAGCTGTGCAATATACACGAATATACAAATGAATAATGTATTAAAAAGAATTGTGTTGAGGAAAATGCTAAGGCGACATGTACACGAACGGAAGCACGTTTTTAAACTGTGCATGGATGCATATACATATTGCTGGACTGCTCGAATGCATGTTCGCTCTCGCTCGCACACAAGGAGAGGAGTTTTGTAGGAAAACACGTGATTTGGGAAACATAAAAGATGGTATTTATTTATGCTGTACAGTCGCTTAAGCAGCTTTCGGCCTGCGTCTGATGATCTTAGAATTGGCCATCGCTGCCCCAGGAGGTCTTGACGGTATCCTCGTTCCAGTCCTCAACACCGCCGACAGTCTCGGCAGCGACCTCATCGGCCCAGTTGGTGGTCTCCTCGACGGGATGGTCCACGGCTTCCTCGATTTTGGGTGGCGGCAGCAGCTCTTTGGCAGCGGCGGCCTCCTCCTTTTCAGCCTCCTCGGGATCGCGATAGAAGAACAGATCGACGACCACGGGCCATTCGGTGGTGCGCGAGATGGTGCCGCGCAGGCGGAGCACCTCACGTGCCAGAAGCCACCACATCAGACCAATCGAATGCGGCGACTTGTTGTTGCAAGGAATCGCAATATCGATGTAGCGCAACGGCGAGTCCGTATTGGTAAAGGCAATCACGGGTATGTTCACATACGAGGCCTCCATTATGGGCTGGTGATCGGTGTTGGGATCGGTGACAACCAGTAGACGTGGCTCGCGGAAAGCGGGCTGGATCTGATTGGTGAACGCACCGGGTGTGAAGCGGCCAGCAATCGGCGTGGTGTCCGTGTACTTGGCAAACTTCAGCACGGCGCGCTGGCCAATGGGACGCGACGAGATGACGAAGACCTGCCAAAAGGAGACGGCCATTAAAATGATACAAAACAAATATATACAAATAGCTATTTAAATCAAATACATTTGGAGCGCGCATTTAACAGCGAATCTGCAGTGTGACCAGCTATGATCAAACGCAAAATCCCTGCTTTTCTTTTAATGTGCGTGCGTTGTGTGTGTCGCGTGGCGGCGTGTCAGTTGTGAAGTTGAAATCATTGCATTTCATACCCGAAAGATTAGATAGGAATCATCATGTGCACCTACGCGAGCCCACACATCAACGGAGTATTTGCTTTAATGAAAAGCGTATAATTCGCTTTGCGACTTACATCGGAGGCGTTCTCAATGGCCACGATGGCGCGGGCAGCGAGCACCAGCTTCTCCCAGGTCTTGCCCAGGTTGATGATGTTGACGCCATCGGCACGACGCTTGAAGACGTACTGCTCCATCTGGAAGTTGACGTTCTCCGAGCCCAGGTGGGTGGTGGCGACCAACATTTTTGTAATGTCATCCTCTTTGAGGGACAGAATATCTAAGCCTCCCGACATTTTAACGTGAAAGAGTTACGAAACCTGTAACAAATTGCAACGCAACAGCATAAGAGAAAGGATAAATTAATGTTTTAACCACGCGAACATAACCTAACTCTCAAAAGTACACGTGCCACAAACTAAAGAAAAAAAGACAGTGATAAATTGACAAAAAAGTACACACTATTTGCATATTATTGCAATAGTGGCAGAACTTTAATTTTTTCAACAGTTTTACACTATATTTATTATTTTATATGTTAATCAAGACGGTTAAACAATTTTTTCACTCCACTCACGTTCTGGATGCCGCTGGGAGCGTTGACAAAATGGACGAGTGACGGGCAGCGTGCGATTCACTTGACAAAGAGCTGGTGTTGGAAAATGCGTGTAGGGCGTGTTTGACAGCACTGTCGCAGAGATGCGTGACGGAAAGCTATTTGATATAACAAATGCGTTGCATAAACCTTGCTTGTTAAGCTGCAGCGGCCGTTTATTTTCCCAGTATTTTGAATTTGAATTTGAAATTGGGCCCAAACAGGTTGCAGCTAGTTCTGTCCATTATTATTATGCTGAGTTGTATATATAAAAAACACATGATTTTTTTCTGTTTTTGTATACACATTTATTGCAAGTTTTGTTTTGTTAATTTTTCGTAATGTACGTGTTTCTCCACCTTTTAATCTCAATGTAACTACCACATCAATGCATATATGCCAATATTATTTAATTTATGTGAATTTAGTTGTTCTTGTTTGGTTTAAAAAATTGTTTTTCTTTTTTTTTTTTTTTTTTTTTTTTTGGTTTTTGGCAACTTTGAAATACATTTCGTTGTTGGTTGCTTTTGCCAAGACAACAATGCATTTTCTTTTTATAATTATTATTTGTTTGTTGTTATTATTATGCAATATTCGTATTATGTTTGTTGTTTGTCACGTGCATTAGTTTAAAAGGAATATATGTACATACTTTTAGAGCGAACTTTGATGTATGATGTACGATGGACATACACATTTATTTAAATATTCAATTTATTTAGTTCCATGAGTTGGCATGGTTAAAATTCTGTGTGTGTGTGTGTTGTGTTTGCTTTATACATTCTTTTAATTCGTTCGTTTAAGGTTTCTTTTGTATATTTTTTTAAACATTCAACAAAATGCGTCCATTAGCTATATGTATTTATTTATGTGTGTGTGTGTGTGTGTGTGTTTCGCTCATTTACGTACTCGTAACTTAATAACATTAATAAAAAAAACAACATGTTGTATACATATACATAAAACATTTGTTATTTTTTTTTTTGGTTTTTCTTTTTCACGACTTAGCTTAGTTTTTCCTTTGGGTTTAGTGTTAAATTACTAACTACTTATACAATGTAATGTTAACTTGTTTTACTTGTTTTAATTTGTCCGTAAAGTTTTCGTTTAAATACTAAATTGTTTGTCGTCAACATGCTTTTTTTCCATTTTCCCAATTTCCACTTTCCATTTCCTACTTTTCTCTCATTGCCTGTCTGCTTAAATGTGAACAATTTGTCTTAAAAAATATATACGTATTAATTAACATTTCGCTATTTTGTTGTTTTTTGTTATGTTTTGTTGTTTGTTGTTGTTGTTGTTGTTTTTTCTTTGGTTTTTATGCCTCGCTCTCTCTCTGTACTTAATCGTGTATAAAATATTTTTACTACAAAAAATCACTCTTTGCAAATAAAAATCAATGCAATTTGTTTACTTTTTATTACTGTTAACATTGTTTGCTTTTCCTTTTTTTTCCTTTTCGGTTTTTTAATTGTTTTTTTTTTGTTTGTTTGCTTGTTTTGTTTTTGTTTTGATTTTTGTAACACAACAAGCTTAAAGCGATTACATTTAGTAATTAATTAATAATATTGTTCAACAATCCAATTCTAGTATACAGAAATCAAGAGGAAGCACGTACATGCTAGCCAGTGCTGCCTATTTGACAGAGTTTTCGGCTATTTTCAAAGGTCAGCAGCAGAAAATAGCTGAACTTTAAACACATTAGCTATTTATTGGCTCTGTTTATTGCCGTTTTGTGGCCAAAAATCGAATTTAGCTACTTTTAGCTGTTTCGTGCTCGCGGCTCTTGGCAACACTGGTTTGCATTTGTCTATATATATTCGTGTGCATCAGGGCTGCAAACCGGTTGTGAAACTAACGCAAATTAAAAATAACCTGGGTTTCAGCTATTACATTTATCTTATCATATTTGGAAGCTAACAATTATGGTTAGAATTCAAATTTAGAGAATACAGATGAATAACATATTGAATTTTATTTCAATATGACATATTAGGGTTTGAAACTAGGTTCCTGCTGGGTTTGCAGCCCTGGTATGTATGATTGGGAGCCCGGACTGAACTAGCTTTTCTGTAAATATTTCAGTATTTGATAAATGTGTGCGTATTTAAGCTTAAAATATTTCCCCTTCGACACTCTAAACACTTAGAAGACACACAAAACGTAGAGCAACACAAACATTTAAGTATATAAAATTTTAGCTTTGATTTTGTTTAATGAAAAATGTTTATATTTAGGGTTTATTTTTAAATTTTCGATTTTAAAGTTTTACGCATTTCTCCGATTTATTTAGGTTTTTTTTTTATTTTTGTTTCTTAGTTTTTAAATAATTGTTTTTATACTCTTCAAGCAATCGGTTTTTTTTTGTGTTTTATCCCGTACCCAAGCGAGTGTGAAAAGAAAACATATATATGTATATAACAAGGTTCAAAACCAGTTTAAACTAAAGATGCAGTGTTAAAAACAGCATGCTCATTCAAGTCATAGTGTTGAGTGACGCTCAGGCAGCCATTTGCAGTTAGTTTCAACTGTCTTTAGGTTAACAATTGGCCATACTGGCTGCAGAACAGTGTTGGGCAACGCCCACGCATGCTAGTTGCTGAACAGTGTTGTGAAACGGACATGCATGCATGTACTTATTGTTTTAAGTGTTAACTGAGTACAGGATACAACGTTTAGCGAGCCAGCCCTGCAGAAGCTTTAGGTGTTTATCCAACAATTACGTATTATGTGCTCGCTTTGCCAGGGTTGTTCAACTTCGGTATTCCGAGTATTTTTCTCGAAGTTTTAAATTTGGGGCAAAATAAAATGGAAAAGCTTGCACTACATACGATCGAAGCCCCCGTGTTAAGGGGAGAGTTAACTTATTGTTGCTTCGTCAGCAAAAATTGATCAATTGGCAAATTAAAGAAAAAGCGTCCGCCTGATGCGGCAATTGGAATTGAATTTAATAAAGATTTCTCTTCAAGTTGAGGTTATGTTTTTTTTTTAATATATTTTTTTTGTTTTACTTGGTAAGCACTTGTTTATCCAAAAAATCAGGAAAAAAATGTATATAGTATATGTATATATAAATTTTGGATGCATGTATATATATATATCAATAATTGTATGTATATGTACGTGTATATGCAATAACATTCATATCGTAATCATAATAATTAAGTAAATACATACATATAAATATGTTTTAATGTGTATATGTTTAGCAATGCGTAATTCTCAATTCTCAATACTCAATTCTCCATTTTCAATTCTCATTTCCCAATTCTCATTTCTCAATTCATTTTCGACTTCAAATCGGCCTCGAGCCTTGCCTAGTTTGCAGTGTTCGCAGTTCGATTTCCAACTCGATTCTCACTTTGTATATATGTCTTTACATATATTTATATATATATCGTTTCACATTTAAGTAGTAAGTTATGCATTTGTGTATAATTTATTAAATACTTAAGAAACAAAAAAAAAACACATTTACATTTCCGCTTGTTTTGTTAACATGTCACAGTTCCATCGAGAAACAATTACGTGTGCTCTAATCGAGCTTGCCCGACTAGAAGATGCCCTGTACCCATTACGTATGAGAAATGGAACCTGGGATTACTTCGGTGATTGTTGTCCGATCTTTATAAAGTTTTCAGGGCTTTTAGATGGCAAACAAACGCGTGTATAAAAAAAAGCATAAGGAAGTAGCTGAAAGATGAGGTTCTTCCCAGTTTTGTTCAGCATTGTGAAAGATATCTAAAAAGTGAATTAAGTCTGAAAATCGATACTTATCGATATACTAAAAAAAGGGGAGAGATATCGATTAAAAATGAGTCTGCATATGTTATTGGAGAATTTAGATTTCAAAATTTGGTCTCATTAGCACGGACGGACATCCGGACTTGGCTGGATCGACTCCTCAAGATTCTTTCAAATTTTTTCAAAAAGATTATATAATTTTTTAACATTTTCAATGGGATCAGGGCATTAAAATAACAACTGACACCTTTTTGGCTTGTTTTTTTTTTCTTGTTAACATTTAAAACTTATTTTTAAGCATGTTTGGCTTTTTGGATTCACGTTTAGTTTTATACAAATGTTTTTTTTGAATTACTTTTAAATGTTGTCCTTAGACTGAACTCCTTTTGAACGCGGCTTTTCTTTTTAATTTTCCTCATTTTCCTCCTTTGTAATGTTTTTTTTTTTTCGAGTGAGGCGCTTTGGGTTTTATTTTTACTTGTTATTAGTTTTAGTTTTAAATTGTTTTTTTTTTTTTAACTTTTAAAAAGCTTTCAGTTTACATTTATTTGAAACATTTCTTTAATTGCCTCGCGGCATTGTTTTGATTAAATATACACCTATATTTGTATATATATATATATTTGTATACATATATATATATAGTATATATATGAAGAGTTTTTGGAGAGTTGTTCCTTTTACTTAGTTTTTGTTTTGGTGTAAATTTGCCTTCGTTTTTTTTTTTTTAAATCGTAGCCCTTATTTCCAAAAAAAAAAAAATTAAAGAATCATTTCTTCAATTACAGATTGATTGAAATGCAAATGCGCGTGGTTGACGTTGTGGAGGATGCTGTGGGCAGGACTTAAATATTTAATATTAGGATGCAAGATTAGCGGCAAAGCCAATGCCAATGCCAATGCCAACAATATGATTCATTCCAATCGCTTCAGAGTACCGTTTCCATTTCGGCGATTTCCGTTTTGTAAGACCTTTCGATTTGGCAGCAGTTGTAGCAGTCATCGCGAATGTGAAACGAGATTCCAAAAAGTTAGTTGAATATAAAAAAGGACACACCAAAACACACACAGAGACAGGAACATATTAATATGAATATTGTGCAATTACATTATGCATGCGAGTGCAATGGGAATGGAAAGGAAGGTAAGTCCCACGCTGTATTAAACCATTCGAATCGAACAAAGTGGTCGAGTCGGGTGTGTCCGACTCGCAGATACGCTACAAATCCCCTCTATGCATGCAGGCAAACACACACATACACACACACATTTTTCTTCCCTTATACCTATTTAAGAAACATCTCGTAACATTTATCTTCGATGCTTAAAGTCTGATCAATTTGAAATTTATCGGGGGCTAAGCATGACATGCAAGGTGTACATATGCCAGGTATCATTCATCTACCTTTAAACATGCGTTGTTTTTTAATTTAAGGGGTAACGCATATAATATGCATGTAACATGCATGCAACATGCATGTAACATGCATGCAGCATGTTGCATGTAACATACAAAAGTGTACATATATGTCTCTACCATCATGTCTCTACCTTCTAAACATGTTTTGTTTTTTTTTTCTTTTTTTTCCAATTTGACGCATAATGAAGGGGCTTTTCAAAAATTGAAACTTTTTTAATGTCTATATAACAACGATATAATCTCGTATAACGAGTTTAATGTAGCTAACTTTAGAATCCTGTTAATAATCATGTTTCTAAAATCAATTTTTATCGATATTATGACAATTGGTAGAACATTATTGAGCACTTCGATCGAGTTAAGAATACTTTAAGGGGCTAGAGATGCATTTTTTCTGCCTGTCAATTGGTAGGAGATTTTCCAGTCTAGCTTGTCGTCCTGATTAAGAATACTTTAAGGGGTTATCTGTTGGGTACGGTTGCACATATAAAAAAGTGGTTCATGTGGTTCATTAGGGGTGCCCCATTACTCGGTAAACATCGGAGCAAATCGATGGCATCAGTCATCATAGTGGGCCATCAGCTGGTCCATGGTCCATGGAAAACAAACGCGTGTCGGTCATTGCATGCGCATTAGTTGCCACACACACACACAAACACACACACAGATGCGGAGGCGGATGTGGATGCGGATACGGATGCGGATGCGAGGATGCTCTAGATGGAGCACAGAATCAAACAGAAGAGAAGCGATGCGTACATAACATCATCAATCAATCATCAATAAGGGGAGAGCGCATCACCCAAGGGTTCGCATGTAAATAAATTAGTGCCAAAAAGTGAATGTGAACATAGAACAAGTAGAAGAGCACATGCCAACGCTGCCCGACTAGCAGATACCCTGTGCAACCAGCTGTGTCGCTTCTTTCTCTCTTTTTGAATAAGTTTTGTGTTTACTTTTTGGTGGTTAAAAGCAAAGGACATAGGCATAAAGGCCATACTTAAAATCGATATTTATCGATTACAAGACAATGGAAGGACGAATGTGTAAGCTGTCCAAACAGCAAAGTATTCATGAGTTTCGTATCTTAATTTATATGAAATGTGGAGTCTATAGAGTGTATTCATCTCCCAAAATCGATATTTATCGAAATCATGAAAATAGTAGAAGATATCGAACAACATATGATAAGCTCCTTCTTCGTATGACATAACCAGAATATATATGATATTCTTTTAAGTCTCTGGTTTAAATAGACTCGGCCACTTATGGTAATCTATCATCAGTCAGGGATGCCTGCTTTTGTCTGTTTTTCAGTAGTTACAGGGTGTAAGAATAGTTGATTTAAAGCAACCAATGCATGAACATGCACATGTTTTTGTATGTGAGAGGAAGCTGCAAATATTCATAAGTCCGCTGACTAAATATTGTCTACAGTTTGATGTTAAATATTGCCCGGAATCTGTGGCATCTGGCTGTGTTTTGGTATGTAATTGTTAGGGGCCCGTTTCGAGGCCAAAATATACGTTTGAATGGGGCCAAGCACTGTAAACCAGAACACATGTTACTCAAAAAACAGCAGACAAAGAAGAAGCACATGGCATACAAGATATATATTCGCCGTCTATCTGGCCCCAACCGTGCCCCTATTGTTGGGCTGCTGCCGTTGGCAAAGTTTTTGGAATCCTTTTTTTGCTTTTCTTTTTTCATTTCACGTGGGATGAATATAAATATATATACATATGTATGTATGCATATGTGGCCGTGTACTTATGCAAATGCATTCATATTTTTGTTGTGTTGTATCGCAAACTTTTTGGCGGTTTTATTCATGCGCTTAATTTGCCCAATTTGTTGTGAAAGTTTACATCCGAATTTTGTGGCATGCCACGCCCTCGCCCACTTAAAAAGAAAAACATAAAAGGGCTGTGTTTGGCCTAATCTGAAGCGTGAGCTGAAAATGTAAACATCAGTCAGCACATTAGCCATTGACCTGCAAAACAGGCAACCCTCCAAATCATCTAACACATGTTCATATGCAAATTTATGCCACAAACAGATCCCGACCCCCAACCCCTCCAACCCCCTTAAAAGTTGGAAGAGCATTTCTGCTGTTTGCTAACTGCTGCTCATTGTTTAAACTAAAAGTAAAAGAAGCTGATACTTTTCATGCAGCAACACAAATATACATTTAAAATAAAATCAAAACAATATAATATAAAATTAGCGAGAGCTTTGCGGTCGGGTGCAACAGACTGTGCCATACTCTAAATCCAATATTAAATCCAATATTATAGCCTCATTCAAATGCCAGATTTGGATGTCAATATGATGTAGGGGCTAAAGCATGAACGAAAAGCGAAACCTCGTGTAATTCTGATGATTTGACCGAGCTATGGGGCTGGTAAATTTCGCCCTAAGTCTATATAGGATAGGGCATTTAATCTTCGGCGTGTCGTTCTTTCATTAAATTTAAATATTTTTAATTGACTGTGACTGTCCAATTAAGTATGAAACTCCAGCTTAACGCTGTTGCTGGGACTGAATTATTTGACTGCCAGAATTCATGGCAAAATAATAAAAGTTTTTGGACACAAATCCCCATGGGAATGCCCAACCTTGGCGACTTTGTCGCAACTAGACCGATTCTGACGGCTGATGGCCATTTGGACTTCTGCATAAAAGTGATGCATTTTTCGTAATAAAAATCCATCGATAAAATATCATGTAATCTCTCGCAACGAGCTGTACGCATTACACAACTAACAGACAAGGGGCCACTGATTTTGATTTGATTTGATTTCCTAATCTCGGCTGGACGAGATGGGTTTAGTCAGGAAGGCGGCGGCCAGTGATATGCAAATGTATGTGGCCCAAACGCGTAATCTATGCTCCTGCGCTCCGCTCCGCATCGTTTGGCTCGGTTGCAGGCAAAATCCAAATGAATGACAACAGGAACTGTCGGAAATTGTCCTGCTGGGACTATGACAGAGACTTTGAACGGAAGGACGGCAGAGGTTGTGCGTCGAATCAGGAAAGACGAGATAATTTAATAAAGTAATTTCCATATATTTTTATTAGGCCAGGCGCCAGGCGGGAGGCAGCTGCACACAGTCATTAGGTGGGCGAAAGCTGCCCTGCAGGATGTCAATAAGTAAAAGTGCTCCAGTCGGGAGCGCACGACATGCAGATACCCTGAACCCAGCGCTAAGCAAAGATTTTATATATTTATTCTTGATTAACCTCGGTGCTTATAGTCCAATTTTTATTGAGCTTTCAGGGCATAAGTGTGTAAAATCCAAAGAACATGTTTATTCCTTTAATAACTTTTACCTTTGTAAATTTCTTCGGGTATTCCTCCAGGTATCCAAAAAGACAAACATCTTTAAACTTTATACTCCATACGATAACCTACGTTCTAAGCTTAGTATATCTAGCTCTGATAATCCTCGAGCTATGCCCAAAAACTATGATTTAAAATAGATATTCATTGATATTATGCAAATGAAAGAAGCTATCGATATGATATGCCCATATCATGCATGGAATATATTCTTGTTTAACCTCGGTGCTAAGAGACCGATTTATATGAGATTTTCAGGGCATGAACATGGTTCCGTCTTGGATATTTCATATTTTCAATTTTCTCGGAAGCGTTGGGAGTTATCCACGAAGTGAAAGATCCTTTAACTTAATATTTTATACGAGAATCTATCTTGGAGTTATTTCAAAATAAATATTCATTGATATTATAAAAATATAAGTAGATATGATATGATGAGCTCGTTTTGAATTTAAGGTCTGTAGTTTCTCTAGATCGAAGGGTCTATATAGAGGAACAAGCCTAAAACGACTCAGCTCTGCTCAAAAATATTTATACTTCTTTCGAGGAGATAGTGAACAACTATTTAAAGTTCTTTTTCCGGAGAATATATATTTCAAGTTTCCAAACTTTCATTTGGTTCTCCGTTTGACGTCCCGATCAAAAATATATATATTATATATGCACCTTATAAGGTCGGAGGTGCTTCCTTCTTCATGTTACATATTTCTGCCTAAAAATATTATACCCTTTCTAACCGGATTTTCAATCGGTTCAGGGTATAAATGTTATCATAATCAATTGCTTAATTAAATTACTGTCAACGAGCTGTGGAAGTTGGACAGGACATCGTACCGAAGCTGTCAATCGAGGAAGCTATTGTTGCACACACACACACACACATATACGCAGCTAACTACAGAGAGGGGAACTATTTGGTTGCATGCGGGGTGGGACACATACACCGTAATAAAAAACTTACCACCTGTATAGATCTTGTGCGCTGGCAGCCAGGCTGAGATTTCCGAGCAAGGGCGGTCGCTCCTTGAGATGATGATGGTTGAGCAGATCCGAAGATGAAGCCAGTCTGAGAAAAACCAGAGAAGATATATTAAAATGATAATTACAATTAAGTCGCGTTGGTAGCTCACCTCAGTTGCGGCGCCTTGATGCCGTGCTTGTCCATCACCTTTTCGAGCTGACGCACCCGAAGGCGGGACATGTCCAGCTCGTGCTTGACCTTCCAGAGGTGCGTGTCGCAAATGGGATCGTTGCAGCGATGCTTCTTCAGTATTTCGGTTGCCTCGTAAACGGCGCCGCGAAAGGTCAGCGACTTGCCCATGGACAGGGAGATGAGCGCGCAGCAATGACCGCCATCCTTCTTGGCCAGGCGCTTGCGTATGTACTTGAAGTAGACGTGCTCGAGCAGCAGCAGGAGTGCGGCTAACAGGATGCCGGCCATCAGTAGGAGGAAGGCGGACAAAAACTGCTCGAGGGCCAGTGGATCGGAGGACTTGTGCTCCTGCTTGCCCGGCCGGCAGGTGCCTGTCATCCAATAGCGACGTAATCGCTCCAAATCCCCGTTAGCGCGAAACTCCAGCAGCCGCTTGTTGAACATCTGCACGTACTTGGAGTTGCGGCTGAACGCCAAGCCATAGCCTGGAGAAAGCGTCAAGGAGTATTACAGCTGCCAGCAAGACTGGAAACGATCGGAAGACTTACCGGTCATGGCGTACCAGCTGCCGACGGTCATCAGGCGACAGTCCTCATCCTGGGCAACCAAATAGTCCAATACGGTGCCGTCATAGATAAAGGAGTCCAGGTTGCCGTTCAGCACAGCGGCAACGCCATCGGCAACGCTTGTCTTATTATATCTGCAAAGGAATACGGATTCGGGTTCATATCGGAGAGAACCCTCCGGAGAAAACGTCCTCCAGAGAAAACTTCTCCCAAAGTGAAACCTGCAATAGGAAACCCTCCAGAGAGAACCTTCCTCAGAGAGAACCTTTCAGAGAGAATCCTCCAAAGTGAAACCTGCAATAGGAAACCCTCCAGAGAGAACCTTCCTCAGAGAGAACCTTTCAGAGAGAATCCTCCGGAGAGGACCCTGCAGGGAGAACCCTCCAGATAGTACCCTTCAGAGAGAACTTCCTCTAAAGAAAACCCTCCAGAGAGAACCTTCCTCAGAGAGAACCTTTCAGAGAGAATCCTCCGGAGAGGACCCTGCAGGGAGAACCCTCCAGATAGTACCCTTCAGAGAGAACTTCCTCTAAAGAAAACCCTCCAGAGAGAACCTCTTCCAAAGAGAACCTTCCAGAAAGAACCTCCTCCAGAGAGAACCTCCACCACTTAGTACTTACTGCTTCATGTAGTAATGCATCTCCTTAAAATATTTGTGGATGGTGGAGTCCGTGTGGCTATAGGGTATCGTGCCGAACTTGAACGAGGGCTTGTGCGAATAGGGATGCACTAGGCGGCTATCGTTGAGTCCACTAAACTCGTGGAACTCCTCTCTGTAAAGAGTTTAGATCGTGTCAAAGTGAGTGAGGCGCTTTGCCAGTAGAGAGTTGGTCACCAACCTGGTTATCATGAACGCCGCCAGGTTGGCAGTGTAGATGGCAAGGAAGACAACGGCGAACAGGGCCCAGACATTGGTCATAAAGCGCGAGGTGAAACCGCGCGGCGAGTCCACGTGAACAGCCGCTTGGAAGAGAACCGCCCAGACGAGCCAATAGGTGCGAAACAGCGAGAAGCGGTAGGGCGTGACATTCGTGTTCTGGAGGTACAGCTTCATGTCGTAGCCGCTGGGCGACAGCCACTCGAACAGGAATATCATGAACGTGGCCGCCTGAATAGCGACGATACCAACCTGGGAGTGGGAACAAGCAGGAGCAAGGGACGAAGCGGCACAAGGCGAGGCAGAAGATAGAGAGACAGAGAAAGCGTATGGAGTAGAATAGTTGCGGGGACTTACCGGGCCGACAGTTGTTCAGATCAGTTGGACTTACCAGCATCCAGGAGGCCGTATCGAAGGGCTCCAGAAAGGCCGTGGGCGAGATGATGCCGGTGCGCTTGGCGACCACAATGGCAATGCCCGTTTCCATGAAGGGCTCGCTAAAATCGACGACCGCTTCGCGCTCGGTGTTGATCATGAGAGATGTGAGGACCATGTCCGTCTTGCGGTTAACCAAGTCGGCAATTAAACCATTCCATTTACCATTCTCAAGTGTACCCCATTTACCATCTTCAACCCTGACCAGCTCGTAGGTGAAGCCCAGTTCTTCGGCAAATTTCTCGAGCAGATCAATGCAGAAGCCGCTGCAGCATTGATAGAAGGACTCGTTGCGGTGTGCTTGACCCACATCAATATCGGCGGCCATCTCGTGATCGGCCGCCACACGGCAGAGCACACCGCGGTCCATGAGACACTTGCCACTCACTGGATCGGCGGGTGACAGATTGATATAGGGTGCCTCCTCGAGGAATGTGATCTTTAAATGGAATTTCTCGGGCACACCTTGCGGCGGAGCGTGCGAGTTACCTGGCCACGCAATGTCGCGTATATCAAGCTTCTGTGTCTCCCACGATTTCCAAACGCCAATCTGACCGTGTGATTGTCAGTGAGTGTGGCCCCAAAGAAGAGGAAGAGCAATTATACAAAAGCGTTTCGTGTGGAATGTGGAAGGTGAAAAATAAAAGGTCGAGGATTGCGGATAGTGTGTAGAGTGAGTGCCAGAGAGAATAAATAAGTTAAAGTCAAGTGATGCGAGTGATTATTGTGTAGAAACGGGATCATGCATAACGCTTCACATACCTCCTCCCAGACGAGATTCTTATTGTTGGCGCTGGGTCGCAGATTCATGATCTTTAGCTCGGCTGACTTAAGGTCGCCATCGGCGGTAAACTCAATATTCGGCTTGTTCAGGTCGCCCTCGATCGACACGTTGCGCAAATACTTAAAGAAGCTAACCACACAAATTGAGCATACTCCGATTAGAGACTAGAGATCAGTTTGGAAATTGATACTCACATCTCGCCGTTGTCCCAGCGGCCACGACCCTCGTCCTCGCACGACAGCGACTGGGTGGTCAACCTACGATCACGATTGGCCGGATCGGTTAGATAGGCCTCGACGCCGTAGCTGTAGATCTTGATGGCATTCGAGATCTCGTTCATGAGCGCAGCGCTGCTCGTATCGAAATGTACCCCCAGCATGCCGACGGGGAATTGGGAGTGTGCATCTTTCTTCTCAATAACCGACTGGCTGACGACCCAGACATAGTTCTCACCCGTTAGTTTCATTTCCTCGGCGGCACGCAAAATCGTGATGGCCTCCGTCTGTGTGGCATAAAGCAGCATGACACGTGCCTCGCTGTTAACCAGCTCCATCAAATCGCTGGTCCGTGTCACGACAATCGAATTGAGTATGGTGAACTTGAAATGATCCTGCATCTCGGCGACCCGTTCCCGCACCGCTTGCACAAAGTCATCGTGGCCGGCAATCTGCGAGGTGACCACCGAGAACTGATGCCATTTGTAGCGCTCCAATATGCTGAGCATTGCAGCGCTCTGGTGCTCGATGCTCGGCGCCAGCTGCAGCTGCAGTGTCGACTGCGAGGCCCGGCGCTCCAGGCCCGAATTGTCCGCATTCCACGAGATCACCGGTATGCCCAGATATCCGGCCAACTGCAGGAAATACTGCGCCGATGCGGTACTGTGACCGAACTGCTCGTTGTTCATCATGTACAGGATGGCCGATACGTTGACCCGCAGGAATTCCTTGCATAGCGTGCTGAGGATGGCTGCAAGGGTCAGAGCGAAGGGAACAATCACATTAGCATAGGGTAATCACACGGATATACGGACACACGGCCATGTACTCGACGTGCTGCTGTGCATGACAAAGCAGGTCCCCCCCCCTCTCCGGATACGGGTATGCCCTACCCCAATCTATTATACGTGCCCTCATTTGGGGCAACATTCGCGCCCGCCGGCAACAATGTATGGAACACGGCCGCATTGGCTTACCCAACTGAGCGGAACAGTTCCCATCCTACCCATGCGCTGGCTCCTTGCGCGCCAATTAATTACAGATTAGCCACCGCCTGAGCGTGGCTGCGCGGCAGGCATTTTGCTTTATTGGGTTATCAAGTGTCGCTGGGGCAGGGGCTGGAGTAAGAGGAACCTTTCGCACTCTCGGCTGAGGTGTTTGAACGCAACTCAATTGGCGGTTAGCTCCGGGCTACGGCTGATTGGGCTTGTGGAATTTGCCAGCTGAAGGTGTATAATATTCCAGGCCTTAAATTTTGCGGCTTCTTTACGGCACATGTGTACCGGAAGTGCCTGCCCCGCTTACATTAATTGGCATATTTACATGTTTCGCTTGCTGTACGTTAAAAAAATGTTGACTTGAAAGCATTTTGCTGTTTATTCGAAAACAATCCAAGAATTGACTGAAAAGTTAAACCATTTTTCTTTAAAGAAAGATTGATGAGATGTTTTAAGAGTAAACTAAAATTAACAAGCGATTTGTTTTTGGGCGTGTTCGACTAGCAGATACTCTGCAATAACTGCCTGCTGTACAAAAAGTGAAGCTTATTTGGCGGACAGTTCCCATAACCGGACAAAAAAACCGTGTCCGATTGTGTCTGCTTATTGTGTCTGCATCTTAAATTATTCGGGAGATACCTATATACCTATATTCGAAAATCGATATTAATCGATCAACTTATTTTGCATGTATTTCAAGTCCTAAGACCAGATAGAACGGCTGTTTTGTCGTCCTATTTAAGAAGTTATATACTTTTTTAATGACAAAATACAAATACCCTTAATTTTCAATTTTCAATGAGTATAGGTCAGGTTCATTTCCCATTTCCAAGTAAGGAGTTAATATTTATTTTGAATTGATAATTCATTAAATGCACTGCCAAAAACTTGAATCTATTATGATTGCTAAAGTTATCTGAGGTTTAGTCCTAGCTGGCAATATAAAGTTTTTTTTGAGAATCGTAGAAAGGGACCTACTTGGTAATCTGATGATGAGAATCGCAGAGAAAGGGAGCATTAAAATTTAGATTCATATGAAACTGAAGCAATATAGCGTTATTTTGCAAGTCTCAGAAAGGAGGAGCAATAAAATTTACATTCATATTATTTTGAGGCAATCTAGAGTTCTTTTGAAAATCGCAGAGAGAGTCCCACTTGGCTATTTAAAGTTATTATGGGAATCGCAGAGAGGACGAACATTAAAAGTGACAGTCATATTAATTTGAATTTGAAATCAATGTGGCAAAGTGTTAGGTTAAATTGTGACTTGGAATTTGAGTCGAAAAGAATTTTTTACCGTGCACAAAAGATGTCAATTAGGTGAAATTGAAAGGCATTTTTCATGATGAGGGATAGACACATTGTAATTAATTCATACGTATTCCCCGATGGCATCGGGTGTCCGCTTCTGCCTTCAGGCAGACCTCGTCATCAGCATCAGCATCCGCAACAGCATCAATCGATTTGGGGCTCATTTTGCAATAATGAGCAAACCGCCGCGGGGCAGAGCCTGGCAACGGGCAACTGTTGACTGACTTTTACAAAGCAGGTCGCCTGGCATGGAATTTTCATTATGTGCCAAGGACAAATGCGTTGCTGACTGAATTTTGCTTAGTTTTGTACAGCATTTTTGGAAAACAATGACCGGCGATAATTTAGAAAGTTTTGCAGATGGAACCACTAAAAAACCACTCAGCTTCAGGCGACTGGCCTGGCCCGATGTGAGTGTGGATGACATGTCAAAGTTGAGACTTGAAAGTTGAGTGCGACACTTGAACAAAACATAACTTGGGGTTAATCTTAGAGAAGGCTGTGACCGCAGGGCTGTGATGGAGGAGCCGGAGCAGGAGCAGGAGCCAGAGTAGGAGTAAAGATTAGCTCAATGCTAAAATCTGAAATCTCATCAAAAAGTTTAATTAACTTTTTCATCACTTTACTTCTGCTATTTGCATTTGAACGCCAAAAGGAGGTGCTGCTAATTTTATCAACAGTTCTCATGCATTCAATTACCAGCCCGCAGCCCGGAGCAGAGGCTCGACTTGATGGAACTGCCAGAAGGTAGATCGATAGATGTATAGATAAATAGATGGATAGGCGCAACCGTTTCGTTTGATGGATAGACCGACAAGGCCGACCGACAGGCTGACATTAAATCGACAATAGAAAATCACTTATTAAAATTATGCCTTTTCCCAAAGGGAGACGACGACTTAAAGGCTTACGCAGCGCACGCCTGTAAGGCCCATGTGTACGACCTAGAGATGGTCATGGGTCGTATTTTGTTTCGTGAGACAAAATTCGGTCTATGCTGACCCCAGCAATACGTAGAGCACGATATATAATGTCATGATGCAGTTAAAAAATGGGATCTGGTATAGGGATATCGATTATATCGATGCGTTTGGTGTTTTGAGAACTATTGATGTTTTTTTGAGCTATCGATGTTTTCTCACAGTAATTGTTAATACAAAATAGCGAAGACACAATTTTTTTTTTGCATTCCGGCTATGTGCACTGAATCAAAGAGAACATTTTGTAACGCTGGTCAAATAATTTCAGTTTGCAAAAATTTAAAAAAAAATTGAATCTTTGCCTGATCTTAAATAGGGTTACTTATTTAAAAAAAATAATAATAAATATGTTCCTTGTTAATATAACTAATGTCTTCTGAGAGTTTTTTTTAAAACATCGATAATATCGATGTTTTGCTTAAGAACAATCGAAAACATCGATGGTTCGCAGGACTTCCCAACTGGAGCGATTGTAATTTTTTTATTCGAACTTTGAACTTCGTGCCAATCGACAATCTTTAAAAACTTCTTCAAAAATAAGACAAAAAAAGTATATATTTTGACCAGGGCTGGATGGCGTACATTTTTCGTGCTCGTGCTGGGCCCGCGCATCTCTAGAGCTGACTTGTTGGCGCTCGGCTTTATGAATTTTTGCTGTTGATGTTGCTACATTTGGCCACGCCCACTTGGCAAACCTTTTGGCCTTGTTTGATGGCTCTTTGGCTGGGGCCTGAAATTTACAGTTGGCAAATTTAATTTTGAGCCGAATGAACTTTGATTTAATTACCAGGCGAAAATGTTTGATTTTTGTCAGATGGCGCGTGCCACATGCCCCCCTCCCACCATGCTCGCTTGCTCCACCCGCCAACTGGACATGCCCCTTGAGCATGGCAGAAGCCTCCTTTGGCAACACGCTCGCCTGTCCATTAAAACTTTAATTGTATGTATTAAACATTTTTAATTGCTTTTGAAATGGTTGTTGGCGCTCCTGTCTCGGTTTCCTCTTCCGCATCCGTTTATTTATATACCCTGTGCACATTTAAATGGGTCAAAGGGGTATCATCAAATTGTGTGCACATATTATACTATGAGTGTGTGTGTGTGTGTGTGGATGTAGCATACTCCTAGAAAATATATATAATTAATCTAATGCTTGCAACCCAAGAGGGGAGTCGCTCCATCCATGCCGTTTCGGAATTTATTTGACAAAACGGAACTTAAAAGCGTAGTTTTGAATTAATCATTTTTACAAATACGAGGGACAAATGTAGGTTCAGGGAAATGGAGGGAGAATAAAAACTTAATTTTTAAGAAGGTGAACAACTTGGCACGAGCAAGGCCGGGTATTTAGCTAAATTTCAATCACCAGTTGTGAATTTAAATGCAAAATTAATATATAAAATATAGTCTTATAAAAGGGTAAATGTAAAAAATATAAATATAAGTCTAAAAGTGTAGGGTAATTGGCAGTCTCATACTCGCTACTAAACCAGTTTTTTTCTGTTTCTGATGCTCTAACAAAACGCTCACTATATTGCCATTGAATGGAGGCTAACATCTTTGGTCTTAAAAGAAGGGTAAAATTAAAATAGATAAATTCACATCTATTTTTTGTTTGAAAAGTGTAAAAGTGCAGGGTATCTGGTAGTTGGTCACTTACTATATTGCCATTGAATGGAGGCTATCATCTTTAGTCTAAAATAAGGTAAATGTAAAACGCCGAAGTTTTTCTCTAAATAGTGCAAGAGCATAGGGTATTGGGTAGTCTCATACTCGCGACTAAAACAGTTTTGTTCCATTTCTGATGCTATTTCCGCTGTCGCTTTCCGTTTTCTTTTGCCGCTTGTGCCAGGCGTATATAAAAAGTATAGCCTAGTTATCGGGGCTGCAAAATGTTTTTACAACTTTTCATAATGCGAACTGAATAGCAGCGTCTGTAATCAAAGTAATTAAGTGCGGCGAGTCCTGTGCTGTTATCCTTGCTGTTACCCTTTTCACTTTTCCCCCTTTTTGTTGTTTAAATAAGATTGAAATTCAAATTCAAGCAAAAACTTGAAAGTCTGCCTGCCTATCAAATGGACGCAAACAGCTTTTGCGACTATGCACATGCCCTCTCACATACACACACACTCTCCATAGAGATGGTCACGTGTCGATGTCACATTGTGTTACGCCATGTCACGTTAGCACGATTGATGCAATTAGAAGTGAGCTAGAATAATAATATGTAATAGTAGATTCAGTCATTTCTATTCCTAAATTATGGGACAACCTCAGCTTTAATATATGCAGGCACAAGACAAGTAATTACTTTGGATACCATTTATCTAATGGGGTTTTTTAACATTTATCAATATTTGTTTATAAATATCGAACACGTTGAATACGTAAATATATTGAAATATTCAAACTCGAAGTAGAGCTTAATCGTCAACATTGTAAAGACCGCACACAATTTTTAC